GTTCTCAATTTTCGAAAATTTGAATGGTTTACGGACGGACAACTGGAAAAATTTTTCCTGTCGGATGGAAAAATTTTTCCTGTCGGAAGGAAAATTTTTTCCTGTCGGATGGAAGAGTTCTTCCTGTCGGAATGAAAATTTTTTCCTGTCGGAAGGAAAAATTTTTCCTGTCGGAATGAAAATTTTTTCCTGTCGGAAGGAAAAATTTTTCCTGTCGGATGGAAGGACTCGGAATGCCAGAAGGATTTGACGAGGCAATTTACCTAATTGAGCTACTTGAGCCATCTGAAGTCAAGCGTAAAAATAAAGAGTGCATTTACCCTACTTGTTTGAAGTTGTCAAAATACTCTGTTATTTTTTCTTTCAGTAGCGGTAAGTCTTCTTTGAAGGTAAGTATTGTACAACCTTTCATATCATAGTGTGTTTGAGGTAACGTATCTTGAACTATTTGTTTCACATCTTCATTCGGTGTCATTGAAATCGGTAAGTTTTCGCGATAGAACCAATTTCTGTCAGATTTGTAAATCTTAGCAAGGTCGTAAAAGCTTTTGTTGTTTCTTCTGACTAAATGCAACATAACCATATCTTTATCTTCTTCATTTTCCATCTCTTCAGTATAAATCATATACTTATAGTTCTTTTCCTTTCCTTTTGGTACCGAACGTGGTATTCTTTTCTGAATGCTTTTGTCTTTTGCTTCAAGCTTGTTTTCCATCTCTTCACGTTCTTGTCTATGAATTTCGTCAAGAAGTCTGTAAATATACCAAGCATAACGAGGCGAAGCCCACATTGCAACAGCATTTACAAGAAGTCTATGTACATAATATCCTCTCAAACCGTTTGGCAATTTTTCACGATTTTCATAGAGTTTTGGCGACTGGGGTTTTTTACCTACTCGCTGTTCTTCACTGTTTTCATAGAGTTTTGGCGACTGGGGTTTTTACCTACTCGCTGTTCTTCACTGTTTTCAGAAAAAAGTATGTCTCGCTGTGCTTCATTTAATAGTTCAATAGTGCTTTGGTTCCTAAACCAGTCTTTAGGAAGCTTAGTATCTGGAGCATAACATGCTGTCAAAATACTTTGCATTTGGTACATGTCATCTTTGACTGAACGAATGAGACGTAACTGTTTGTTATACTGTATGTACTCATATTCTTCATTTATAGCTTCATGGACTATAACTGTTGTTGTGTTCTCTGTTGTTGACATATCTGTCTTTACATACAAAATAAAAAAATAAATAAAAATAAAACTAACTTTATTTTTTCATCATGACACGAAGTGAAGATTTGCACTTCGTCAAATTTTATAAAAAATTAGCGTTATTTTTACATCATGACACGAAGTGAAGATTTGCACTTCGTCAAATTTTATAAAAAATTAGCGTTATTTTTACATCATGACACGAAGTGAAGATTTGCACTTCGTCAAATTTTATAAAAAATTAGCGTTATTTTTTCTATCTTTCACAAAAGACCAAAAATAAACGCTTTACATGTATTTTTCAGCAACTTCGTCAAATAATTTTATAGCTTTATCTATCTCATCTACTTCAAACGTTTCTTTACCTTTCGTGGGAGCACCATACATTTTCTCAAACTTTTCAAGTAGTTCTGTTTCTGCAGCTCTCATATCATTAACAAACACAACCTTGACTCTATTGACTGTACTGTCATATCTTTGAGTTATATTATATGTTCTTCCTATCTTATATCTTTTTGTGTTGAAGTCCTTCGGTTTCTGAACGATGTAAAGTAAGCCTTCACTGCAACGTTCCGTATCGAATGAACCATATGTTATGAAGTTATATCCAACAACTGGGTCTAACCATAACAAAACTATTGGTATAAGACTTTTGTCTATAAGATATGCTGCAGTTCCATAGAATCTTACCGATATCATAAGCACAGGATTTCTTGTCAAAATTTTCTGAGTTGAAGCATTTCTAACCCAGTCGTTTGTTTTCTTTCCAGATGGAAATATAATGTCTGACAAAGAATATTTGTTGTATTTCTTTGAGTATCTTACGTTTAAATCACCTATTCTAACCAATTTGGTGTCATTGTCTATCTTTCTAACTGTTTCAAACTCAATGTTTGACATTTTCTGTTCTTACATACAAAATAAAAAAAATAAAAAAAATAAAACTAACTTTATTTTTTCTATCTTAAGGAAATTCACGATTTTCATACGGAATCCCTTCTCTCGGTTTTCCGAGGGAAGCAAGCATATGCCATTTTTTGACGAAGTGAAGAGTAACACTTCGTCAAAAATAATGTTTAGGTGAAGAGGTGACATCTCACCTGTTTTCTCACCTCAGTTATTTTATAAGCGTTTTACATGGTAAACGTTATTTTTTAAATTTTGTGAAAACTCAACGGTTTGACACAAGCCCTAAAAATTATTTTACTCAGAATTTTGTTGCTGAATTCAGCAAAAATAATGTTTAGGTGAAGAGGTGACATCTCACCTGTTTTCTCACCTCTTTTCTCACCTCAGTTATTTTATAAGCGTTTTACATGAATTGTACGATGTATATTTGAAATCTTAAACAATTTCGTAGCTTCTATTTCTTCTGTCAGTACATCGAATGTTTTAACGATACCGAAAGTTTCTTTATACTTCTTCTTGACGTCAGATAGAAGGAAATCTTCTGCTGTTGGATAGTTTTTGTTCAGAAATTCTAACATGTCCATTTTATCTTCTGCTGGCTTTTCTGCTTCTTTCTTTAAGTCTGCATAGTCGTTTCGCATTCTTTCTATCTCTTTGACGGAGTAGTTATATTTCCTAATTGCTGCTTTACATTTAGAACATTGCGGGTTCATTTTTGCGTTATATTCTGAAACCTTACCTGCTAAAACAACTAAGGCGTCAATGGTTTTCTTTAACTCAAACATAGCGGGTCTTATTTGTTCGTTCCATATCTTACCCCTCCTATCTTCATCTCTTATCTGCCATACACATTCAGCAACTAATGAAACAAAGTTGTCGTAGGTCTTAAATTCTTCGGATTTGTAAAGGTCAGAGATGTTCTTATATAACATGTCGCAATCTTTGTCCATAACCTTATGGTTGCAATGAAAACCAAGGAATTCATAATTTACCTTACGAATGAACTTCTTTATTTCTACTGAGTCAGTTGCTTTGACTTCTATTTCGTCGAATTCGGGAATAGTGAGTTTTTGTTGTTGGATTTCAGGCAATTTGGGTAAATGGTCAATAATGTCCTGCATTTCATAAAGATACTGTTCATTTGTTTCATCTTTCGCACTACAGTCTAAATTACTTGTTAACAATTCTTGCTTTATCTTCTGGATTTTTGTTTCGAAAGTATATGAAGAAGGAATGAAGTTTTTCATCTCTACCAACATTGACGTAGGATTCATAACTAACGAGTTTGGTGCTGTTGTTTGTATTGCTGTTGTGCCGATTGTTGAAATCATATCTTTTATACAAAATAAAAAAAATAAATAAAATAAAACTAACTTTATTTTTTATTTCGGGAAAATTCATGAAAATTCATGAGGTGAGAAAACAGGTGAGAAAACAGGTGAGATCTCACATTCTAACATAAACATTCTCGTCAAATACAAAAAAATAACTTTCACTTTTTCATTAGATAACTGTTATTTTTTGACGAAGTGAAAGATAACACTTCGTCAAAAAAATCCCTGAAATCATACCTTACATACAAAATAAAAAAAAATAACTTTCACTTTTTCATTAGATAACTGTTATTTTTTGACGAAGTGAAAGATAACACTTCGTCAAAAAAATCCCTGAAATCATACCTTACATACAAAATAAAAAAAATAACTTTCACTTTTTCATTAGATAACTGTTATTTTTTGACGAAGTGAAAGATAACACTTCGTCAAAAAAATCCCTGAAATCATACCTTACATACAAAATAAAAAAAATAAATGAAATAAAACTAACTTTATTTTGTATTTCGGGAAAATTTATGAAAATTCATGAGGTGACAAAACATTTACGTTCATGTTTGACAAAACATTTACGAAGAAGTCTTGACAAAACATTTACGATGAAGAAGTTTCGACAAAACATTTACGATGAAATTCATGAAAATTCATGAGGTGAGAAAAGAGGTGAGAAAACAGGTGAGATGTCACCTCTTCACCTAAACATTATTTTTACTGAATTTAGCAACAAAATGAACGAGGTCAGGATGTATGTTGCTGAATTCATTCATAACACCCTTTGTAAGCTCATAAAATGTTTGTTTTGAGGTCGAGCCACTTTTGGCTCCACCGTATTCTTTCAACCTGAAGCATTTAATATATGTAAAAATATATTGTTTTAAAATGGTATGCCATATAGCTTCTTGAATTTGTTAAGAAGTATTCGAACGTATTTTCCATCTGTATCTATAGTGTTTACATAAGCATAGCCCGCCTTAGTAAAATATACTTGTAATTTCCTATAGTTTACGCCGGTATAAAAGTAGAAAGAGTCTTGTTCTTCGCTATAGTAGTAAAACTCCAACGTATGCTTGCCATAGTCTGTAATTTCAATTGTTTCATCTTCTAGTTCGTCGACAAATTCGAATACAATATCTCTAAATTTACCTTTGTTCTTATTGTTTTCAGAATAAGTGACCCAACGTAAGTTTTCAAGTCTATTGTCGTTTCTTATATGGTTTATATGGTCTACAAAAGGTAAATTGTTAGGATTCAGTATAAAATGAGTTGCAATGACAACATGTTTAAGATAGTGTTTTCCACCCATCTTCATATCAGCATATCCGTCATTTTGCTCCCATTCGCTTAAAACTCTTTTTGTCTTTTTGTTTCTGACTTCAAATGACTCACAACAGTGAATTTCATATTTCTCATCTAACAAACAAGTTTCCCAACGGTCTTCTCCAACAAACTCAGCGTACATTTCAAATAAAATAAAAAAAATATATTGTTTTAAAAATAAATTGTTTTCATGAGTTTTCTACGATGTTAGAAAACAGGTGAGAAAACGTGTTAGATCTAACATGCTAACATAAACATTATTTTTACTGAATTTAGCAACAACTTTCTCTCAATTGGAGCTGTGGCATACTCTTTGCGTAAGCGGTTCAGACCTTCTTCGATTTGTATTGGAAGTAGTAGTAATTTGGATTGAGATTGGAATTGCTGGAACATCCAAGGGTTGGAGCTGTAGCATACTCTTTGCGTAAGCGGTTCAGACCTTCTTCGAACTCTTGGTCTCTCTTCGATTTGTATTGGAATTGGTAGTAATTTGGATTGAGATTGGAATTGCTGGAACATCCAAGGGTTGGAGCTGTAGCATACTCTTTGCGTAAGCGGTTCAGACCTTCTTCGAACTCTTGGTCTCTCTTCGATTTGTATTGGAATTGGTAGTAATTTGGACTGAGATTGGAATTGCTGGAACTGAGGTGCAGGGGCTGGTGCTTTCGGTTCTTCTGGATTGAGATTGGACTCGGTTGGTGGGACGTCGGACATTCGTTTGTGGCTTAACCATCGGACCACAACGATAAAAATCTCTGCTACTAGCAGTACTTCTACTGACAGTAGCAGTACTTTTACTGACAGTAGAAGTACTTTTACTGACAGTAGCAGTACTTTTTCTGACAGTAGCAGTACTTTTACTGACAGTAGCAGTACTTTTACTGACAGTAGCAGTACTTTTACTGACAGTAGCAGTACTTTATCGTCGAAAACCCTCTCAAATTTTCCTTTTTACTGACGGTAGCAGTACTTTTACTGACAGTAGCAGTACTTTTACTGACAGTAGCAGTACTTTTTCTGACAGTAGCAGTACTTTTACTGACAGTAGCAGTACTTTTACTGACAGTAGCAGTACTTTTTCTGACAGTAGCAATGGACAACATCGAGCCATTAGATGAGGCAGTTTACCTAATTTAAATTAACGAGCTTGTTAAAGACTACTTGCGCAAGGTCATGAAGCCCAAGGTCAAGTTCACCACTATTTCTGGAAGGGCTGCCTTGACTCTCGAGATTTCGACTGGAATTCCAATTGAGGTACCAGAAAACACTCCTTTCGACGACATAAAGGACGCCAAAAGAGAAGCTCTTGTTAAGTTCCTAAACAAACGTCCTTGGATACTACTTCCAAACAGAGAGAGTCCAATTCCACGAATTATACAAATTCTCAAGGGTCTCCTTCACTTCTCGGGTCAACCATTCTACATAACCTCAGAAGGCGACATCCAACCAGTTCAGTAAACATCTCATTTTAACTCACTTTTTTATGTTTTTTGTGAAAGTGTCAAAAATAAATTGTTTTCATGAGTTTTCTACGATGTTAGAAAAAATGTTATTTTCTAATATCTTCACATTCAATACTTTTTCAGCACTTTTCCGTAGTTATATATGAAAGACAATTCGAGATAAAAGTCATAGTACAATGGAATAATATGTTGCACACCATTTGTTGTGAACCAAACTTGAAAGTCAGAGAAACTGTTACTAGGTGGTTCGTAGAATTTAGAAGCAAAGTCATAAAGGTCCTTACCAATACATAGAAAACGATTGTTGCTTGAACTGAAACTTGCATGACATATAACATTTTGAGGGTCAAACACGTTTCTATAAACTGTCAAATCTGCTGGTGGAAGTATAAATTTAAATGGACCATCTGTGGTAAGGTTCGTTCTGGTTTAGTAACCGAAGAAATTGTGCCCAAGAACGTTTGTCTACTTTCCAAAATAAAACTCTGTATCTCTTGGAGGTTAATTTCAATCTTTTGAAATGAAACGGTGGAGTTCATCTTGTCATATTCTAGTTTCAGATAGTATGTTCCATTTAGAAAGAGTCGTATTTTTCTTGAAATTCCCAATAAATATTTGTTCATTTGAGTTTGAAAGTCATTTAGAGTTTTCTCAAGACTTTCGTCTGAACGAACTGTAAAGATTCTCATTTCGTCAAATTGTCTATTAGACCATCAGAACCTTTATACTGCCATGAAAATATACTGCGAACATAAATGCGTTAGTTCTATTTGAAAACAAAACTCTTCTAAATCCTATTGCCTTTGCATCTGAAGGACTTTGAAGCCAACGAATTGGATAGTCAAACCTGTATGCTCGGGATGAAATTTCTTCATCTGATATATTCCTACCAGCATTTGTAAAGATATAGTCTAACGTTTTGTATCTGCTACTTTTGTTCTTTGTTTTTCAACCTGAAGCATTTAATATATGTAAAAATATATTGTTTTAAAATGGTATGCCATTTCATATTTTTCATCTAACAAACAAGTTTCCCAACGGTCTTCTCCAACAAACTCAGCGTACATTTCAAATAAAATTAAAAAAATATTTTTTTCTTTACTTTACATAACCGCCTGCTGCCATAAGTCTTTGACGCCAACCCATACCAGCTAATGAAGGTTGACTTGTTTAGTTTGGAAACTAAACTTTGGTTTTGGTTTATCTTCAGTTTTTGGTTTTTCTTCTTCTATCGGTTTTTCGTCACTTTTCGTTCCGCTGGCTGTACCCCACCTGCAGAACAGTTGTGTCGTCAAACATCTTCATAAATATCATATGCCATTTGTTTTGTTTTCCTTTCAACTTTTTGTGTTTGTTGTAAAGTTTAGAATATTTCGACTCTAAGTCAATGAGATGTTCTATAATGAACTGTTGGTCAGTGAAGTAAACTTTCCATCTGTTGTCTCGAAAGCTCCTTCAGACTTCAATATTTTATTTGTGAGAGTCTGTTTCTTTTTTGAGATACTAGCCGTTTCCATTTTTATGAAAAGTGACTTTGTAGTTAGGGTTTGTATTTCCAGACCTGGCACTTTTATTATTGAATTTTTCTCTTCATCTGTAAGTTCTTTGACAGGTTTTGACAATGGTTCTGAACTTTTTGTTTGTGGTGTCAAATCTACCGTTTCAACTTCTTCGGTCATTTCATCTCAGTAAAAAATTTTAGTTTGGTTTGTTTTCAACTGGTTGTTGTTGTTTTTTTAAGTCGGTCTAAAACTTCCTGAGGTATAGGAAGAACTTGACAAACACGTGGTGTAACTGCTGGAAGTCGACAAATCCATCTTGAACCCATTTGTCTCAATGCTGTATTGTTCATTTCATCTCAGTAAAAAACTTTACATTCCCCACGTTTGAGGCGGTTGAGGTTGGTTATTGGTTTACCACTGTTGTGCATGTTATATCCTCTGTTAAAGAATCTTTCACTTGGTATATAGTGTCCTGCTTGGTTATAGTAGTCATTTGCTTTGTTATAATAGTTTCCTGCTTGTCTTCCTACATTGTCCATCCATCCTTGAACTTTTCCTCTTGTTTCAGGATTTGGAATAAGATTTGTTTGCATTCGTGCTACATCCCAACCTTTCTGTACAGTTTGTATAATAGGTTGTGCTTTCTCTTTAGTATACCTAATGTACTCAAAATCTTCCTTCCAATTCCAAATGCACCTCTGGCTATTGTTCCCACTGCGGGCAAAAAATCTGGATGCAACTCCTGCTAATGCGCCAAATAAACCCATTTCTTATGGGTTAAAAAAATGACGAATCCAAACAAGGACCCCTATGTTTCTAAAGCGACAAAGAAAGCACTCATGATAAAAATCTTTAGTTCAACACCAAATGCTTGGTTTATGGATATCTTGGAAAAACATTCCGAGGTATAGAGAAGATGACCACCATACTGGTTAATATTTGTTGCGTCAAAACACAAGATACTGTGAAGCCATACCATTATGGTCCAAAAAATATTTTAGATGTGAAAACTGCTTTGACAATATTCGTTGACAAATACCATCCAACAAAAACTGACATCTGACTGTGAAAGTTCTTTCCAAATCAGATGATGTAAAAAACTATCTGCGTTCAAAAAATGTAAACCAATATTTCATCGTCGACCAAACCATTCTGCTCTTGGTGTCATTGACGGTTGTATAAAAATGTTAAGAGACTTAAACCAACCACAAGGTGTGAAGCAAATGAAGTGTCATATGAGACAAGTATAGACACTTCTCCATGGCAAAAGATGAGACAAGTTTTAAATATTTACAATAACCGTAAACAAAAAGGTTTGGGAAACCACTCCCCCGAAGAAATGAAAAACAACCCTGACTTAGAGAAAGACTATATATTTAATAATTTAGTCAAAAGAGACAAACAAGAAAGAATGCGGGCTTCAAACTTCGGAAGGGTGACAAAGTAAAAATAGAAATACCTAAACGCGACCCATATGAAAATACTATTGACTATGACAACAATGGGAACTCGACAGGTACTCACATTCGTGTTCGTAAAAATAGAAGAAAGTATACAAGAGAATATTATGAAGTTTTAGGCAAACATGGCAAAATGTACACACTGCAAGCAGAAGATAAAACTACTATTGCCAGACCTCGTTTCAAACTTGTCAAAGTTCAAGGTGGTATACTTTCAAAGACAGTTCCTAACAAATATAAGACAACTCCTGACGAATATGCTAAAGAAGTTGAAAATGACGACTAAGCATTTCTATACCATGCGTAAACTGTCATGTAAGGTGGCATGTATTCTTTACTTTGTCCCGTTGTTGCGTATATCCTGTAACGCGATGTGTATGGTTTTCCATCTCCTGAGTGTTACCCCAGAAAACAATTTATAGCAAACTGAACGTCGTCTTTAACATCATATCCTTTACCTTTTTTCATTGCTGACCAATCCCAAAATTTATTTGCTTATGCCAACCTGCTTGAGATGTACTTAAATCTATGTAGTGACTGTGTGCAGGTAAATTTTCACCTGAAATCGTTTTACTTCCACCTGTTTCCTTTGAAGAGTTTGCACAATACAAAAACCTGTCGACTATTTGAGTCCAAGTTCCAAAACCAAGTACTACTTCTGGTCTGGTAGAGTTCATTGACGTATAAATAGAGCCTATAGGATATAATGTTTGAAGTATTTCTGTCTTTAATGTTTGAAGCTCTGTTTTGTCTGCTTTCTTGTCTAACATTGCGGGTAGTTCATATGCTTCAAAGTTTCTGGCATGACTTTTCAATGTTCCTGCAACTCTTATCTAAATTGTTAAGAGTATCTTTTACGCTTGTACTCGGATTCTCTAAAGGTGCACTTGAACCAAGGTCAAAGTTCAGTATTATGTCGTCTGCTCTAACAGTTGTAAAACTTGTATGTGTATGAGTCTTATTTGCTTTCTTCTCTAACTCATCGTTAACATAAGTTTTATCTGCTTTAAGGTCTAAACATCCTGAAACCCATCCTGTATCAGCTTTAGTTTTAAAAATCTTCGATGTCCATTCATGATACCATTCAGCCCTTTCTATAATTTCTTTATCTTTTTCATCCACATATTCCTTATCCGCCTTCTTCACTAACACACTAGCCATAAGTCCCTTATCTACCTTATTTTCAAGGCTAACGTTTAAGTTTGTAATATCAGATATAGAATGTGTATGAGTCTTTTTAGAATATTCGTTTTCAGCTCTTGTCACTTCACTTGACATTTTATTGTCAACATATGTTTTGTCTGCTAGTTCAGGATGAGTATGTTCTTTTGTTGCATAAGCATTGTTAGCTCTTTCTTCTTCTTTTGCTATTGCATCGTCTACATATTCTTTGTCAGCTTTGTTGTCAACATCTGCCTTCAAAAGAAGTTCATTTATAGGTTTCTCGTTTAAAGTTCCTTTTGTTGATTTATACAGACAGTATGGTTCTTATTGTCTTGAAACAGAAACTCATCTGTCATTGGGTTTAATGTCAGTTTTAAGTTTCCTTCTTTCAATGACTCAGATATCTTAGAATAGTTTGAAAAGTTTGTTGTGTTCTTATTTAGAGCTTGCATAATGATTGTCGGTTGTGTTGTATTTCTCTCATGGAAGCAATATCTTTCGACATTTTTATTCTAGATAAAATATGCTTCCAATAGAAAAAGAAAATTCTAGAGTTGCTACAACTAAACCATTAGATGAACTTTTACTTAATGTCGGTCAAAAGTTTGAGACAGAGACCGTAAAGCATGAAGGCTATCGTTTTGACTACCCATTGAGATGGTTAAGAGACCCATCCGTCACAAAAGCTATTGGCTTTCGTAGAATGAAGTTCATTTCAGAAGCCATACATGGTTTCCATTTACGGTCGGTTTTGAAGTTCGATACTATAACAAAGAAAAACGTATTATGAGAAATTTGAACAGGGAAAACTTTTACAAGTTAGTTTGCTTATAAATTTAGAAACAACTCTTCAAAGCTTTTCAAGAAAAATATAACGATATCTATATCGAATATGCAAACCAGTATAACATTGACGAAGGAGAGTACCATCTCGATATTATTTATGACAGGAAAAATGCAACTGTTAAAATCAATAGAATAGAAGACCTTGGAGAAAACGTTTATATTTCCTACAAAATATAACAACTTGGCATGGTATAGATTTATGAGGATGTTAAATCAGCCTGCAGCATATCCAGTACACCCAGACTTTTATGAAGTCGAAAACCCTAATGGAACATATGAAAATGTTTTCGACCCAGCTGCTATTATTGTTCATGCTTCATTTTCTGGCGCCCAAAACTCTTTCTTATGCTTGGCAAATGACTTTTACGAAAAAACCTACAAAGTTATATGAAACCGCCGAGTGGAAGTATTTCAGACTTTCAAGTATGGTTTACTACAGATGGAAGAAAAAGAATAATTCCATTATACATGCGTTTTACTTAGAACTTAGTTTCATATACAACTACTATCGAACGGTAAAAATATAATTTTTAATACGGTTGAGGTGTTGGATTTGGTTGCCAACTAGACTGTGGTGCAGGTTCAGGCTGTTGTATAACAGGAGCTTGTTCTTCTGGTTTCGGGGTCTTTAGGTATAATACCAACGAACTGACCTACTCTTTTACCAATATTTTTGACTCCGTTCCAAATTCCTTTTCCGACAGATTTTATTCCATTCCATATACCTCTTCCAACATTTCGAAAGAAGTTTCCAATACTACTGAAGAAACCCATTTTACTATATGTAAAAATCTAATGTCCGCCTAGTCTCTACGTTTCCTGTTGAGTTCCATAGCATTCTTTAACTGGAGCTCATACATTCTGTTTCTCCTCTGGTAGAAAACATATTCTGGGTCAACTCCTGTGTTCGCGTCATCTGCATAAAGTTGTTTATATCCCACTTCAGGGTTTGTATAAAACTCTTTCCATCTCATATTTGCATACCATGGTGGCAAACCTAACGCAGCGTCATTTGACATGGCAGTTTGCATTTGTACATCTGTTGGCACTTGACCATAGTTTGCCATTGCAGTTTGTATTCTAACTTCATTTGGAATATTCTCTGGGTTTGGTTGTCCAGGTTGCTGTGCATTCGCTAAGTTCTGTGCGTCCATTTAATATTAGATAAAAATATCTCTTACGAGTACATATACTGAACATTTGCAGGCATTGGTTCATCTTCATATTCTCTGTACTTTTCTGCCACGTCAAAGAAATAAATGACACAATGGAAAAAACCTAAAACAAGTAGTCCTATTTCAAACCACATTTACTTACTAATAAAATTTCTTTGTTATGACACTTTCTCCAGTTTATAGGACCTCTCTCATATTCTATCTTGTCATATCTAAACTCATAGGCATGTATGTCCTCTAACCATCTCATAACGGTTTCCAAACCACTTTTATCGGATGTAAAGTAAAAGCATGGATGGTTATGTATAACGTCTAAAGTTTCTAAAGAGTCTCTCAAAGTCCAGTCTACTTGGTATTGAAAATCCCATGTGTTATAGAACGGGCGGTCCACTATAAAGAAAACATTTTCCTTGTCTTTATATTTTTCATACAACTCTGTCCAATGACATCTCACAAACTCTATACCCTCAATATATTTTTCTATGTCCTCTTTGAAAACATTTGTATAGTTAAGATATAAAACTTTTGACATAAGTGTTTCAATGTCATGAACTCTTATAGCACCACTATATAATAGTCTAGCAGATATACTATTCCAGTCTATATATTCTGCTTTTTTCAAAACCTCTCTCACAATATTTTTCTTATCTAATGGTATACGTTCCATCTTACCTATAGGTATCTTTCTTTTAACTCTTTCAATATATTGTTTGTGTCTGGAATATGTTTGAGACGGTCCATATAGTTGTCGAAGTCATTGCATATAATCTTTGAGTCTGGGAATATTGTATGACACAAATGGGATATATAGAAACTTCCACCGAACAAATCTACAAATGTTAGACCATTCGGTAGTTTCTTAAGTTCTCTCATATAAATCTTTACTTTACTCTTATTTCCAAAGAACGGTAACGGTGGTTTTGTAAAATTCATTTATATATAATAATAAAAATGTTTTTACCCGAAAAGTGACAGAAAAGTGACAAAACATGAAAACATATATAATTTGTGAAAAGTGAAACAAAAAGTGACATTTTTAAAAGTGACACCATTAATATGATGTAAATAACAACGGTTTTGGTTTTGTCACCGGTTGGTCGGCTGGGGTTCGGTCCTCCTCTTGGGTCTTGGGCAAAATTCTTAGGGCTAGAAGGGGCGCAGCCCCTGGAAGCCCCTCATACCTGACCTTAAGTCGTGTACTGAGGCACTGCGCGCCTCCATACACCACTTAGCGGTTTTGACACTTTACAAAACTGTTAACGTATATTTTACAACACAAACGACAACACTAACTTAACCTTAAATATTTACAAAGCCGCCAACCACTTCACCTCACTAACGACATCGCTAACGACGTCACTAATGAAAAAATAAACGTTCTCACTAACGTTCCCACTAATGTTCTCACTTACAAAAGTATGCAACTCCTCCATTGCTGTGCTTCACATAACAGCTCATAATCTTCTGACTCACTTTCTTCTTCATATAGGTCAAAATCACTGTCATAGTTTATACCTGTAAGTTTTGACAAAGCTAATGAAACACGTTTACCGTTTGTATCGTATGCTTGTATAAACTTTCCATTCTTCATTCCTTCATAAACGCTCAAACTAACTTTACCCTTTCTCCCTCGTATCTGATAGAATGTATTTTCACGAGGAACGAAGAACAAATTCTTGAACTCATGACCGTTGTAGTTTGTTATCTCAATAGTTTTCGTCATTTATATAAAAATAAAATAAAAAATAAACTTAAAAATTAATGATATCACCACCCTCACACGTATGAAAACATCCATTTAAATTTAGGTGAATTGGTGAGATCTCACCTCTTTTTTCACCTGTTTTTTCACCCTGTTGAATTCATTGTTTTATAACTCTTCTAACTTCTTCTTAAGTTCAGCAATGTTGTCCTCATGAAGTTTAATCTTTCTCAAAATTCCTTCTTTATCTAATGGTTGCTTTATCTTTCTAAACTGAACTCTACCATCCTTCATAGTATGAACGTAAAAACCTTCTGGAATAGTTCCTGATTTAATGTATTCTACCAAAAACTTTTGTTTCATTGCTTCAGTGACTTTATTTGTCATTTCAATCAAATAAAAATTTTAATATTAAATAAAAATAACGTTATTTTTTCAGTAAGGAAACGCAGGAGTTTTACGATTTATTTGAGGAGTAGGTTCTGGTTTAAATGTTGGAGTCGGTTTAGGAGTTGACTTTTGAACAGGAGTTTGTACTTTCATAGGTTCAGGAGTCATTGAAGGTTTTGCTTGTGAAGGTGTTGGTTTTGACGTTGGTTTTGGCGAAGGTGTTGGAGTTTGTTTAACTTCAGCTACTTCAGTATATTTTACAACATTTGCTTTATTTCTTTTCAACATCATATACTGCTCCTGCTGTAGCTAGCAAACCTAGTGGGAGACCATATTTTATATAAGGACTTGACCAAATGCTATTTTTGACAGGAGCTGGTGGAACACCTAACCTTGGTGAGACTGCTCTTTGCCATTGTGCAGCTCGTAAGAAATATTCAATAGGTGCTCCATAATCGTTTGGTAAAGTTTGTTTCATAGATGGTGAAGGTTCACGAGAGCTTGATGAAGAACTCATTTATAAGCTTTAAAAATAAACGTTCATCCTTTATTCCTCACTGTCGTCCGTAGCTAAGTTATAGTCATCTAATCTTATTATTGGGATTCCATTAGCACGCACCTGAATGGCAAAGCAACAATCCCTCATAAATCCAATAAGTGGCTTTGGTACATTTTCAGTTGCTAGTTCAATAGGTCCTTTAACAGACAATTTGTATGTTATTGGAGCAGTAGATGTTTGACCTTGCTGGAAGCAAAAGTCCACTTCTGTTGGAAAACCACATAAGAAATGTGTGTTGTCATAGCTATCCCATTTATGTTCCACACTACCATCATCCACCAATGACCTCATAACATCTTCATTAAATCCTATCATATCATTGTTTGTATTGCAAGCGTTCGCAACCATTTCATAAAATACAGGTCCATATGATTTTTCAGGTTCTGCAGGCATATTTCCATAAGCTCCCATGGAAAGCTGAAGATATTTAAACTTAGGGTTCTCAAAATTAACATAATAGTTGTCTTTCTTTCTAAATAGTGCCCAAATACTTTTAACATTAATAGGCGTATAAGCTGCTGTAAATGTTGCACTTGAACTATCTGTATTCTTTGAGAATGAACCGTCCATAGGAATCCAATCCATAACTTTAACAGGAAAACATAAAGCCTCGTTTGTATAATGTTCTACAAGTTCTGTATAAATGTTAGGGTCTAAAGAGAATGACTTTGGATGAATGAAACATTCATTAAAATCCATCTTTGTTCGAAATAGTTGCTGGGTTACAGTTGTAATAGTAACTGTTCCACTAGCTTCTACTGCCTTCGTTATCATAGTGAATGGTTCATTCCATGGAACAAATTTATTTGTCGGTGGATTTGAATCTGAAGCAAATGCAACTTTAAGAGTTGGATTGAAAGCAATGATATCATTTACAGATATAGATGTGCATTGTAAGGCGTCGCTACTGAACTTTACTTTAAGCTGAATGTTTCCTGCAAAAGCTGGAATAAATCGAATAGCTTCTAATGGAAGGAATCTTCTAACAGGAATTCTTAAACGAAGCTTAAAATCAAATGATTTTCCTGCTGTAATTGGACCACTAACAATTTGTCCTGTTCTGCATGTTCCCGAATGACTCCATACATCTTCATGTCGAGTCTTTGAGAAAACATCTACTTTCTTTATTTGTTCGGTAGTTTGTGAGTTTGAAGTTATATATGCTTCTTCTCTTGCGTTGTCTTGAGAATATACGATACGACCATTTGCAAGGATTTGATATCCAGCAACTGCATAGAAAGCGTCATCGAAACCAATCCAAAATCCTGGTGGGTTTGTTTTATTGGAACCTGAACCAATTTCTTTATCTACAATAAATTGACCTTCCATTTTATACGTAATGAATGTATTGTAAAGGTCCAACATATTTTCACCAGGAGGTGAGAGATTGAATGTTACCCATGTGTTATCTTTAGCAGTTCCAGGTTGTGATGGAATCTTTGCGTCAGAATATTTTCTATTAGTGTCACCAATTTGAACTGCATTGTCTATGATATCGAAATATGAGCGAATCTGATGAATATGCTCTGCTGGAGTAAATTCGTTTAACTGTTCGTTCTGCATGTATTTACTTCGGATAAAAATATCTATTTACTTCATTATTCTCACTCTTCTTCTTGGCATTCGTGGTGGAAGTTGTTTCTTGACATTTTCAATGAACTGTACATTCTCTTTTGTCTCAACTTCTTTCACTGGCGGGTCAGGATTCTTTGACTCGGTTTGTTTTTCAATGAAATTCACGAACTTTGCAATAAGCTCTTGATTCGTTATTGAAAGTACATCTGGCTTCTTTTCTTCTGGTTCTATTGACTTTTCAGTTTGAACAGAAGGTTTTATATGGGCTTCACCCTTGCCATACACCTTAATGTTGTCGCTTTCTGCATTCGCTAATGGAACCTTTCTTTTTCTTACGTATATTTTACCATCTTTACTCTGACTTACGTAATAGAAAGGATGTTGTATTCCTCTTGCGTCATTTAATATAATAGACTCTCGCTCTGATTTTGACAAGCTCATTTTACATCGGTTAAAGTTTTAATTTTGTTTTTTATCTGCAGTCAAATGACTCAGACAAGCCCTACGGACAAGACCCAAGGGGTCATAGATGTTGAAGCATTGAAGAAAGAAATTCGTGAGCAAATTTTATCCGAACTGAAGGAACAAAAACAAGAACAAAAGCCAGAGAGACCAAAGAGAAAACTTAGTGAAAAACAACTTGCTGCATTAGCTGCTGGAAGACAAAAGAACCCAAGACTACTGGCGAAGAAAGCTAGAGAAGAAGCTGAAGCAAAAGAAAGAAGTAAATGGTTTATTTTTATCCGAATTAAATGTATAGACAAATACCTTTAACTGTTGCGTTCAGTAGTGAAAACCCTGACGTCAAAATAAAGGGGAACAGAGTAACGTTTAAGTTTCCAACAGACTGGATTGTGAACATAAATGAAGAGAAGTACATTGGCATAACATCTATGTATATAACACGTGCTTTCAGAAAGGTTGACTTTATACTTCAAGTCGAGATAGAAAATGACGAACAGTCTTTAAGCGCCCAAAACATTCACATATACAAATACTTTAAAGACGATACAACATTGTTGCAATGTATGATTTCATTTAATGAATGTTCGAGAAAAAGTTCAACATTGAAGTACAAACTTTACAGCCTTTACGTGAGTTTCTTGCACAACTGAAAGAAGAAGGTAGTCAGCCACAACTTATAGACTTTCATTATGAATTTAATGAAAATGAAGATGGAACTCATGACTGTCAGTTTGTTATATTCACCATTCAATGAAGTCGCTAAAGAGAAAGAAAATCCATTACGTATAAGATTTCAAATCTCTGAACCAAGTGATGATTTCAAGAATGTTTTCAATTATGATGCAATGCTTCCGAGGAAAAATGAATTTTCAAAGATTGTAACACCTGGCATTTGGGATAGAAAGCAAGCTATATTATATTCAAACTTAAGTAAGGGAGTTGAAAATGAGTTCATTGGTCATACAAGAACTTCACCACTTCCTAACCCTAAATACTATAAATTAACTGGCTTCAATCGTGAGTTTTGGATAGACATGTTCTCCACTCATGACCATAACTGCCCAGTGTTCTTACCTCCAGACCATAAGGACTGTCTCTACATTGAAGCACAACTCTTAAACTCTACCATCGCAGTATTGTAAAATCTACGCTAGTTTTATTTTTTCTGAAAATTTTTATTTGAGTGAAAGGCATGGAAGGTGAAGGACATTGGCAAACACTCGAACATGACAATGACTATGAAATCTTTTCAGAGTACCCATATCCAATTAGGCGCATAAGTAACAAAAGAGTTGTAAGTGAGTTTGACAACGGTGATGGTTATATTTGTGTTTATTTAAACAAACATAAACTCTTTAAGCATAAAATTGTTGCAAATCAATTTATACCGAATCCTGAAGGACTTCGAGAAGTAGACCATATAAACAGAGACAGAGGAGACTTTCATATCTCAAACTTAAGGTGGGTGTCGAGAAGACAAAACATGAGAAATATTTCTGGTTCGAATGGCTATTGGTTTGACATTGTAGACACTCTTCCTGAAGATGCTGTTGAAATTATACAATACTCTAAATTTACTCTAGAAAATTACTACTATGTCCCAAGTGAAGATGTCTTTTACTATTTCATGGGAACTCAATACAGACGAATGAATGTCTTAAGACAGTATAGCAAAGATTATATAAACATTACAGATGTAGAAGGAAGAAGAACAAAGCTGTCTATTGCAAAGTTTAAGAGAGACAATGGTTATACATAAATGACAAAATATATGACCTCATGGGCTTCGCCCTTGCCGCTAGCGGCTTATTTTTATCACGAATGACCTCATTCATGACCTCATTGCTGACAAAAATAAATGACCTCAGAACTTCAACTTACGAATAAAGCTTGTTTTAGTCGTTATTGAGAAGTTAAACTTCTCTTCAAAGCAAGGTTGACATGACTTACATAAGTCAAATCCAATCTCTTGACCATCATGAAGTGCTTTGTAAAGTTTCATTAAACTGAACTCAGAGTCTTTGTCATATGTTCCAACAGGTATGTGAATGTTCTTATCTTCATTGTAATAGCATTGTATAGCTTCAGGAAACATTTCATTTGCTGTTAAAGCAAGAACGTCTTGTTTTACACCTTTACAACGTGCATGGAATGCAACTTCATTTAAATCGTTAGTGAGTAAGTCTATGTAGGTCTTCTTTCCACAAAATATTGACTTGTATGCTAAACTTTGTTTTCCAGGTGTTATTTCTGCGAAGTCAGAATGGAACTGACCTAATGTTTTACCAATAAGTTCGCGACCGTATCTCTTCTTAAACTCTGCTGCAAGCTTTGGTATGTCTTCATTGAAAATATGCATGCTATCACAGTCCTGGTAAAATATTTGAAGTCCCATATCTTCAGCAGTACAGAATACTTCACACATTATTCTCTTCGACATAGACAGAATGTTAACACCAAGTGGACAGAAGTTAAAGTGTCTGCAAATGCTTTTCGTTAGCTTGAAAATAGTTTTATCTGAACCATCCAAACCTTCGAACTTCACTATATGGTTGTAGTTTCTGATGGCATATCTTATAGCATCTTTGTCATTTACTATGGTTATTTTTGACTCAATAGGAGATAGAATAGTTTTGCCATAAATACTGTTCAGAATGAGCTTTATATTTTCTTGCAAAGGATTTCCTTCTTTCTTATACTTTAACCTTAACTCAAACAACTTCTTTACTTCATCTCTTATTCTAATATCTCTGTTTCCATCGTAATAGTATCCTTGCAACACTTCACATTTGACACCTTGATATTTTATGAGGTCTTGTAATGTTATATGGTCAACATACATTAAACAGCAAGTGTTTGAACTTCTGGGAACGTTAAGTTCTGGATTTAGTTCAGGGTCACAAACTATTAAAGGAAAGTGTCTATGTATTCCAATCTCTGTTATCTTAATGAGAACAAAGAAGCCAGACATAAACTTTTCACCAATGGGTTCCTTTTGGTCGTCATCGAATAAATGTCTCATGAGATACTCTGTGCTTAACATTCTCTTCATAACCTTTGGAATACCTTCTAAAGTATAAAGTCTTGCTATAGCTGATGGATATAATGAAACAGCGTCGAAATCAGCAATGAGTTTCTCTTTACTCTTTTGTTTAATGTTATCTGACAACATACATCTTCCACCTTGAATGCATCTCGAAATAAATTCTCTTGGTTTATTTGAGAGGTCATAAAGATTTCCATTCGGGAAGTATACTCTGTTCTCAAATAATTTGTTAGCAATTGAACAAATACTAACGTAGTCATAAACGTTTAAATCAAATTCTTTCAATATGTCATTGCGGAACTTAACAAAACCTTCTCTTAAAATTCTTACATCTTGTTTGCAATAAAATGTGCTATACTTTTCTAAGTCGAAGTGGTTCTCATCTATTCTGCAACCTTTGATGGAATCTATGTTTTTCATGAATGTATCTGCATCCCGGATAAACTTACATGCTTCAGAAATGACACCAGTTCTGTTGTCATTTGCTAACAAAACACTGCTGTAGTAGTTGTATGGAAATACTTCTTTCGGTCCTGTTTGTAAGTTAAACATAGCAGGAAATAGTTTAAGCTTCTTATTTATAACACACTGTAAGAGTCTTTTATAATAATTGCCCTTCCTTATATAAGCCAGTTATTTGCATTGTTCGTGAACCTTTAATGATGGGAGTTCCTTTCACTTCTGTCATGTGTCTTAAGATGAAGTTTATATCATAACTGAGGTTATGGAAATATATTAAACTCTTGTCAGGAAGTCGCTCAAAAATTCTGTTGCACAGTTCTGACCCCAAATGCTTTCACTCACTGAACCATCTTTCACTGTCGTAACATATGTTAAAAGCTTTATGAAAGCCGTCTGTGCTACACTCAAAGTCAGCAAAGAAAACGTGCTCAGGAATGAACTTGCACTTATATTTTTTTACTTCTTTTGACTCGGCTTTCTTCTTCAGTTGTACACAATACTTTGGAGCATATGTCAAATCTTTAAATGGTGCAAGGTTCTGTTTATATAAGTCAGTAGTATATGTGAAAAGTTCTCCATAAGAAATAGGTTCGAAATATTTGCACTCCCACAATGTTTTCATAACATCCATAACGGTGTTGTTCTATCATAACGAACTACATATTTATCTTCTCTCTTTGTATAAATCTTCATTTGTTTCTCAATGTTCATTCCACCACAAGCTTGAGAATTTCTATATAGTTGCGAATGAAATATGTTGTCATTGGTAATCTTTCGTTTAGCATGTAGTGGTCTTCAACAAGAAGTAAGTCAATAGTTCTAACAGTTTCACATTCTTTTGGTATGTATCTCTTTATTTCATTATGTCTTGAGTCATTGAAATAACCAATGGTAACATTAAATGCTATACCTGTTGCGTCAGAAATTTCTTGTACTTTACTTTGAGGAAAGTCTCTAACACGAATGCAAGCATAAACGAAACAATTGTCTTCTGTCATAAGTGTTGCAGTTCTTTTGTTCAATTCATTGAAAATTTGGTAGCGTTCAAGATTTATAGGTAATGTGCAAAGATACTTCCAGAACTGACCGCTTCTCTTCTTATAAAACTTCTTTTCACCATTATCTTTCCAAAAGCTTTCTATAAGTGCCGGGTTTCCTGTTTGCTTAAGAGCTTCCAAAATGGCTTTCTGGTCATTTGTCAGTGTGCTTTCATCTTTATATGGTCTCTTTTTTGGTTTGCCTTTCTTTACATCTGACATCGTTAAGCCTTCATATTCTGTTAAATCATACATCTTTATTTCGGTAAGATTCTTTATGTTTGTCAAGAAGAAGTCATAGTGCATTTCAACAATACCTGCAGCATTTGCTTCTATCTCTGATATAAAGTTCTCCTTCAAGAGCTGATGTAGTAATGTTCCAATATTATTGAGGTTTAACGTAGAACATTCATACTTTCCACCAAGTTTATAACATACCATCCATCTCTGTTGTGAGTTTATTTTAATTTTCTCTAAGAGTCTCATGAAAACCTTACCGAAATGTTTGTGTAAGTAGTCTCTGTTTGGTTCATCTAAAGCTTCGATTGTTAAAGTCAATGAGTCTATTGCCTGACTTCACATTTCTCTTCCTATTCTCTTCATCTTTCTTTAACCATCTCTCACCTTCTTTTGGTTTGTCGTCAATGGAACGAATGACATTATTAGCTTTGCGAACTTGTTCTATAGCGCTCTTAAACATCTCTCTTCTCTGTTGTTTCAGTGTGTCGTCTCTCTTTCGTGTTTCACCAACGTTTGCATTTGTTATGTCAAACATTTCTCTTCTTACTTCATGAGGTACTGAACGTCTATGATATAAGTCAATAGCAACGTCATTTAAAGGAAATGCTATTGCATGGACTTCGTCCTCGCCGCGTTGCGGCTTTATGAACTCATGAATTCTATCATAACTTATTGCACCATTGTAGTCATTGAGGATGTCAGCGAGTGCCTTTTTGTTTGTTGCGTAATGCTTTGCAACATCTATATTAGCTTCTGTAAGAAGTTGTTTTATTTCCGAGTGTTCTAACTTAGACAACTTCCGATACATCTTTAGTAGGAAATAAAAAAAATATTTTTTGAAAAAATTAGATTAGATTTTTTTAAGTTATTTTTCAAAATAATTTAATATTTTTATTATAATGAAACACATGCAAGATTGCAAGTTCTTTTCATACAATGCTCTCGCTAATGCCATCAAGAATGAGTTCAATAATGCTTCAAATGTTAATGTTATCTTTAACAAGAAGTTTGTGAAAGAATCTAAGTTTGGTCAGTATGTCAGACCATTAGCTATCGTCATTGACCGCAAACGTTATACTTCACAAGAGTTAGCAGTAGTTTTGAAACAAAAGAGTTTCTTCGTGAATGTCAAAGATACTCATTATACTGTTATAAAGAACTCTAACATTGACTTCTTCAGTATTGCTATGAATCTTTCCGAACAGAAAGAATATAAGAAAGGTGAAACAAATATGAAATATTATCCTTCATCTCTGAAGACAATAACGAACAAAGATGTTATACAGAAATTCTTACCAAAGGTTGAAGAAGCTTCTATTGACATTGACGAAGGAAGTGAAATGGTTGAAGAAATAGACCCTGAAGCTATTTAAGCAAAAATATATTTTTGGTTAGTCTTCATATCGATATTTTACAACAATTCCCCAATGTATAAACTTTTCATACGCTTTTTCATAAGCTTTATATACCTTCAGAAATTTTGCATAATCTTTAGAAGCATTTAGATATTGTTTAAATGCTTTGTATGTCTTCAGAAATTTTGCATAATCTTTTACATGTTGTTCGTTCTCTTCTTCTGTCATGAGTTCCGAATATTCTAAATTCATGTTCTTTCATATGAGATAAAATTTTATAAAAAAATAAAATTAGCTTAGATTTTTTTTTATTCTTCCTCTTTGAAGTTATTGAAATATTCTGTTATTTTTTCCTTCAGTAATGTTAAGTCTTCTTTGAATGTAAGTATTGTGCAACCTTTGATGTCATAGTGTGTTTGAGGAAGAGTATTTTTGACAATTTCCTTTATTTGCTCATTCGGTGTCATTGAAATCGGTAAGTTTTCGCGATAGAACCAATTTCTGTCAGATTTGTAAATCTTAGCAAGGTCGTAAAAGCTTTTGTTGTTTCTTCTGACTAAATGCAACATAACCATATCTTTATCTTCTTCATTTTCCATCTCTTCAGTATAAATCATATACTTATAGTTCTTTTCCTTTCCTTTTGGTACCGAACGTGGTATTCTTTTCTGAATGCTTTTGTCTTTGGATTCAATGACTTCATCTTTTGCTTGAAGTTTCTTTTCCATATCTTCACGTTCTGCTTTATATAGTTCATCTAACATCATGAAAATATAACAAGCATAACGAGGTGAAGTCCACATTGCTACAGCATTTACTAATAGTCTATGAACATAATAACCTTTCAAACCAGGAGCCAAATTCTTGCGATTTTCATACGGAATCTCTTCCCTCGGTTTTCCGAGGGAAGCAATCATATGAGGAAATTCTTCTAAAAGTTCTTTTGTCTGTTGGTTTTCAAACCAATGATATGCTTGCTTTGTAGAACGAAGAGCATTCATTATACTTTGCATTTGGTACATGTCATCTTTGACCGAACGAATGAGACGTAACTGTTTGCTATACTGTATGTACTCGTATTCTTCATTTATGGCTTCATGGACTATAACTGTTGTTGTGTTCTCTGTTGTTGACATTACTGTCTTTACATACAAAATAAAAAAATAAATAAAAATAAAACTAACTTTATTTTTTCTATCTTAAGGAAATTCACGATTTTCATACGGAATCTCTTCCCTCGGAAAACCGAGGGAAGCAAGCATATGCCATTTTACTCAGAATTTTGTTGCTGAATTCAGCAAAAATAATGTTTATGTTAACATGTTAGATCTAACACGTTTTCTAACCTCTTTTCTCACCTGTTTTCTCACCTCATGTTTTGTCAAGACTTCTTCGTAAATGTTTTGTCAAGACTTCTTCGTAAATGTTTTGTCAAGACTTCTTCTTCGTACATGTTTTGTCAAGACTTCTTCGTAAATGTTTTGTCAAGACTTCTTCGTACATGTTTTGTCAAGACTTCTTCGTAAATGTTTTGTCAAGACTTCTTCGTAAATGTTTTGTCAAGACTTCTTCTTCGTACATGTTTTGTCAAGACTTCTTCGTAAATGTTTTGTCAAGACTTCTTCGTAAATGTTTTGTCAAGACTTCTTCTTCGTACATGTTTTGTCAAGACTTCTTCGTAAATGTTTTGTCAAGACTTCTTCGTAAATGTTTTGTCAAGACTTCTTCGTAATGAGCGTAAATCAGACAAAAATAATGTTTAGGTGAAGAGGTGAGATCTCACCCGTTTTCTCACCTGTTTTCTCACCCAAGTTATTTTTTTAAATTTTGTGAAAACTCAACGGTTTGACACGTGCCATATGTCATTTTACTCAGAATTTTGTTGCTGAATTCAATAAAAATAATGTTTATGTTAACATGTTAGATCTAACACGTTTTCTCACCTGTTTTCTCACCTCTTGAATTTTCGTGAATTTCCTTAAGATAGAAAAATAATGTTTATGTTAACATGTTAGATCTAACACGTTTTCTCACCTGTTTTCTAACCTCATGTTTTGTCAAGACTTCTTCGTACATGTTTTGTCAAACATGAACGTAAATGTTTTGTCAAGACTTCTTCGTACATGTTTTGTCAAGACTTCTTCGTAATGAGCGTAAATCAGACAAAAATATATTTTAGGTGAAGAGGTGAGATCTCACCCGTTTTCTCACCTGTTTTCTCACCTGTTTTTTTCACAAGCGTTTTACATGAATTGTACGATGTATATTTGAAATCTTAAACAGTTTCGTAGCTTCTATTTCTTCTTTTAGTACATCGAATGTTTTAACGATACCGAAAGTTTCTTTATACTTCTTCTTGACGTCAGATAGAAGGAAATCTTCTGCAGTTGGATAGTTTTTGTTCAGAAATTCTAACATGTCCATTTTATCTTCTACCGGCTTCTCTGCTTCTTTCTTTAAGTCTGCATAGTCGTTTCGCATACGTTCTATCTCTTTGACGGAGTAGTTATATCTCCTCATTGCTGCTTTACATTTAGAACATTGCGGGTTCATTTTTGCGTTATATTCTGAAACCTTACCTGCTAAAACAACTAAAGCGTCAATGGTTTTCTTTAACTCAAAAGCTGCTGGTTTTATCTGTTCATTCCATACCTTACCTCTTCTATCTTTATCTCTTATCTGCCATACACATTCAGCAACTAACGAAACAAAGTTGTCGTAGGTCTTAAATTCTTCAGATTTATATATGTCAGAAACATTCTTATATACCATGTCGCAATCTTTGTCCATAACCTTATGGTTGCAATGAAAACCAAGGAATTCATAATTTACCTTTCGTATGAACTTCTTTATTTCTACTGAGTCAGTTGGTTTCACTTCAATTTCGTCAAATTCGGGAATGGTTAGTTTTTGTTGTTGGATTTCAGGTAGTTTAGGCAAATGGTCAATAATGTCCTGCATTTCATAAAGATACTGTTCATTTTCTTCATCTTTCGCACTACAGTCTAAATTACTTGTTAACAGTTCTTGCTTTATCTTCTGGATTTTTGTTTCGAAAGTATATGAAGAAGGAATGAAGTTTTTCATCTCTACCAACATTGACGTAGGATTCATAACTAACGAGTTTGGTGCTGTTGTTTGAATTGTTGTTGTGCCGATTGTTGAAATCATGTCTTTACATACAAAATAAAAAAATAAATAAAAATAAAACTAACTTTATTTTTCTATCTTAAGGAAATTCATGAAAATTCAAGAGGTGAGAAAAGAGGTGAGAAAACGGGTGAGATCTCACCTCTTCACCTAAAATATATTTTTGGGTCATTTACGCTCATTACGATGAAGAAGTTTCGACAAAACATATACGTTCATGTTTGACAAAACATATACGTTCATGTTTGACAAAACATTTACGATGAAATCATGAAAATTCAAGAGGTGAGAAAAGAGGTGAGAAAACGGGTGAGATCTCACCTTCTACCCTAAACATTCTCGTCAAATACAAAAAAATGAAGAATAACTTTCACTTTTTCATTATATAACTGTTATTTTTGACGAAGTGAAGATTAACACTTCGTCAAAAAAATCCCTGAAATCATATCTTTTATACAAAAAAAAATGAAGAATAACTTTCACTTTTTCATTATATAACTGTTATTTTTGACGAAGTGAAGATTAACACTTCGTCAAAAAAATCCCTGAAATCATATCTTTTATACAAAAAAATGAAGAATAACTTTCACTTTTTCATTATATAACTGTTATTTTTGACGAAGTGAAGATTAACACTTCGTCAAAAAAATCCCTGAAATCATATCTTTTATACAAAAAAATGAAGAATAACTTTCACTTTTTCATTATATAACTGTTATTTTTGACGAAGTGAAGATTAACACTTCGTCAAAAAAATCCCTGAAATCATATCTTTTATACAAAATAAAAAATAAATAAAAATAAAGTTAGTTTTATTTTTTTCTATCTTAAGGAAATTCATGAAAATTCGTGAGGGTGAAAAAACATGTGAAAAAACGGGTGAAATCTCACCTCTTCACCTAAACATTATTTTTGTCTGATTTACATCTAATGAAAAAGTTTAGAAGAATTTTCTTATTCTTTCTGGCATATTTTTGTCTTTCCAGTACTCCCGCTCTAATGGTCCCAGATGTGTTGGCTTTGACTCTCTCAAGTTCTTAGATGGTATAACATCTTCAACACCTCCTTCATATCTTACTTTATAAGTGTCATCGTTTATGTTATAGCCAAGTATTTCAATAACCACTCCTCGCTTTGCTTCGTCAATGGTTTCAGCAAGTTTGCCATTACTACTTTCGACTAATTTATGTCGAGGGTAAAACGCAATAGAGTCGTCAGCAGCTTTTATAAGATATCCATTACCTTGCGTAGAGTCTACGATATAATAGTTTCTACTTAACCTTAAACGTTTCTTTGTCAACGGTTTGTCGTCAAGAACTACACGAACTTTTGTACCAGGAATGAGGGTAAATTGTGTTGAATTTCTGATATTTTGTGTTTGGCTTCGTTTCTTTTGTATATACTTTTCTTCTTCTTGTTGTGTCATTGAATTTGGTGTATGTCCTGTTGTAGAATGTGTTGAGGAATTATATACTTCGAGAAAGTGTTTCATTGTTTCTTCGGTAAAGTCTCGCTCTTGATTTAAATCTCTGAGCGTTCTTATGAAGCGGTTTATGATGCCGAGTATGTTATGGTTATGGTCTTCAGTAGTGTAGTGAGTTATGTTATGCTTAATGAGAAAATCTGTGATTTCATTGCTGAGGTATGCACTGTCTTGGTCTGATGTTAAAGTACTTGGGCTATGTTCTGCTACAAACTTTTGTAAAACTCTTAACACTTCACGAGTTCCTTTATTCCTCATTGGATATGCATATGCTTTACGAGTGTTAACATTAATGAAGATGAGGAATGGTTTATGTCCTCCTTTTCTGCTTTGAATGAGAGTGTCAAATTGGTATGCGTCAGGAGTGTTGGAGTAAATTGGTAAAAAGTAGTCGTAAGGGTTTATTTTTGTTTGATGTACAACATTTTTGTCAAAGAACCTTTTCACTTCAGCTCTGTTAGTAAATCCCCAACTCTTTGCAGCTTCATTGAACTTCTTAAATGACCTCCATGGATGTTGTTCGAATACTTCTTTCAAGCTCATTTATGTAAAGTTAAAGAGTTTAACCAACTCGTATCCAAGCGTGCATTGTTATATAAGGAGGCATATAATCTTTTCCATTACCTGCTGGGTCTGTAATACCAGCTACAACATGTGTATGATTTCCTGCAGTTCCACAGAAAATACCTGTGCTAACATCTTTGGGGTCATCTGAGATATCATATCTATTCATTCCCCATCTATCCGAACCCGCTGCAAGATTTATATAACCTCTTTTTGTTATTGAATGTGAATGGTTTCCTTCCACAGATGTTCTTCCACTGAACCTATGCATATGTGAAGGAAGGTTTTCAATACCTATTTTCTTTGAACCTCCCATCTTCATTGACTGCGTATTAGTGTAGAATGGAAAACTGTCAACTATTTCATACCATCTACCACCAAATAAAGTGTTTGGATTTATTGGATTCATAGACGTATAAACAGCTCCTATAGGATATATTAAATCATATATGCTCATAACTCTAAACATATTCTAAAGAACTTATGTCATTAAATACCATTTGAATGTATCTCCCGGATGAAATGTTGCATTTGTTCCACTTTTATAATGTAATGTTAGTTCAATAGAATATCCAAGAAAAATCAAAAGTATCTGGTTGAAGACCTCTAACAAATCAAATGGAGTTGCTGTTCACCATTTATAATTCTGTTGTAAATGTCATTGTATCTGGTTTCGAAAATTTTTTTGTTAGTTCTGCATCCACATAAGTTTTGTCTGCTTTCTTATCTAACATTGCTGGTAGTTCATATGCTTCAAAGTTTCTGGCATGATCTTCGATATTCTGCAACTCTTATCTAAATTGTTAAGAGTATCTTTACACTAGTGCTTGGATTCTCTAAAGGTGCACTTGAACCCAAATCATAGTTCAATATTATGTCGTCTGCTCTAACAGTAGTGAAGGATTTATGTGTATGGTTCTTGTCTGCTTTCTTATCTAACATTGCTGGTAGTTCATATGCTTCAAAGTTTCTGGCATGATCTTCGATATTCCTGCAACTCTTATCTAAATTGTTAAGAGTATCTTTTACACTAGTGCTTGGATTTTCTAATGGTGCACTTGAACCCAAATCATAGTTCAATATTATGTCGTCTGCTCTAACAGTAGTGAAGGATTTATGTGTATGGTTTTTGTCTGCTTTCTTATCTAACATTGATGGTAGTTCATTTATATCGGAGATATTGTGTTTATGAGATTTCAAAACTTTGTTCGTTGCGTCAAGTTCATTTTTGTCCGCTTTACTTTTAATAGCATCTTCAAAAGTTATTTTTGACTTAACTCTCAAAGTAAATCTTGGTTCAACTAATACACCGTTAACATTGAAAGTAGAGGCATAAATTTCACCGGTATAACCAAATGATTGTGGTGCTATACCTGTGTCATACTGTACAGTACAGTGTATGTCATAACCTTTAGCACGAATGTATTTATATCTTCTTTCATTAACATTTTTCGTCTTCACTTCTTCACTTCGTGTTAAATATCCATGGTAGTCCGTTATAATCTGTTCGTCTGAAGTTATATAATGAACGTGGTTCTTGTCCGCTTTACTATTTAATGTAGCTTGAAGTTCATTTATATCGGAGATATTGTGTTTATGAGATTTCAAAACTTTCTTCATTGCGTCAAGTTCATTTTTGTCCGCTTTACTATTTAATGTAGCTTGAAGTTCATTTATATCGGAGATATTGTGTTTATGTTCTTTATCTGCTTTTTCGGCTAATTTCTCTTCTATCTCATTTATTTCAAGTTCATGCCTACCACCACCTCCGAGAAGTATTTTTCTTCAGCTCTTGAAGAACGTCCACTTCGCCATCTTTGGTGTCAATAATGAGACTTTGAGTTAAAACCTTTCTGTCTTAATGGATGTTTGTAAAACTTCTTCTTCACCGTGTTCGGGTCATGGTCGTCATCATATCTTGTGAAATCAGAGATGTTGTCATACATTAAGCATATCTGTTCAAAAGTTCTGCTATTTGAAACTGGAACGAAAGATATACAGAACTTTCATCATCTCCTAAAGTCAAGTCTGCTTTCTTAAGTATTTCTTGAATGTATGCAATGAGAACAGAGTACCTTGGAAAATATTCGAACAATATTTCATTAGCTGTTGGTTTTGGTGTTCTTCTGGAGTTTCTGTTGTTTCAGTTCCTTCTGTAGGTTCTGTTGGAGTTTCTGCATCTCTTGACTTCAATGCTCTTGCTCTCAAAGACCTAAATGTTAGAGCACCAGGTTTTACAAAGGACTTTATAAATGCTTTAATAGTTCCTGGTAAGTTATTGTTAGCATTAAGTAAGTTCCTTATGCTTCCATCATGTACGTCCATAGCACTATGTAAAAAATCTATACTTTTCTTGTAGTCAGCAATAGACTGACTGTGATTTTTTTAAAGATTTGTCAATACCTTTAAGCCAATCTTCATGCATGTCTGATACTGAGCCAAGAATATCATTTGCTTCCTTTAGTGTATTTTGTGCTTCTCGTAAAGTATCCAATCCCGTACGTGCATTGTTTGCTATACGTCTTACAGTATCTATTTGACTCCTTGTTTCTTGCATCCAACCAGATAAAGTTTTAATAGTATCCGAACCATTTGAAATGAAGTTCAAAGCATTTTTAACGTCATCTAAAACTTGTTCACCAAGTACTGCCCATATCTTTCCGATTTGGTATTGAAGAACTCCATATGAAGCAGCTGTTAAACCAGTATTTATAAGGTCCCATATCCATGATTTAGCAGTTTTTCCATCCTTTCCATCCTTTCCATCCAAACCGTTTCGCCTTGAGGTCCTTGTATTCCTTGTATTCCTTGTATTCCTTGTATTCCTTGTGGTCCTTGAGGTCCGGTGTCACCCTTCTCTCCTTTCAGTTCATCTTTATGTTCTTATAATATTCTAATGTCATAAGGTGTACATCATTACTGCTACCAGCAACGCCGAGAATTTGTTTCTCATTCATGACTAAATTCTTTAGGCATTTAATGTTGTCGTCAAATCGAAAGCTCTTTAAACAATTCAATGAGAACATTCAGTACTTTCACTAATGAGGCATCTACTGTAGAATTTATAATTGCACCGTTCCATCATTTATGATAGGAACTTTACTTATTGTAATGAATGGGTCATTAAGTGTTAAAAGTATCGAAATCAATGACTTTTTTAGTCTTTCCATCGTCAATGACTAAATCATTGCCTTCAATGGTTAAAGTTGAGTTTTCGTTACTAGTTCATGTGCTCTTCTTGCTTCATTTGTTTCATACGCATATGCAGCAATAGTCATATTTTAATAAGAATAAAATGTTGTTCTATTTGCAAAGTACAGACCCAAACGAATATGGAACAGTAAAGCTTCAAACAAACTTAGGTCTTCAGAATGAAGCGCTTGCTTTCAGAGTTGTTGACTTTAATACTATCGCAACTTTTGTCATAACAGATGAAACAGATTTCATAGAGATTGAAATAGATGACAAAAGAAGTGTTATAACATTTCCTAACAGAGCCGAGTACAGAATAGATAAAATTGCTGGAGTCATAGATACTCTCATAAATGAAGAAACTATTGGCAACATAGATGTCGAACTCTCTTCTGAGGGAACATTGAAGTTCAGTAGCAAGAAAGAGTTCAAGATAACACGAATGAGTCATAGAGTTCAATTGCTTCTGGGAGCATACCATATGCAACTACCTTTGAAAAGTGTTGACAAAACGATTGAGATGAAATCTGTTCCATACGTATGTTATGGCAATTGTTTATACATTGAGTCTAAAATAGCTAATGTCACAGGCATTTCAGGAGTTAATAGTAAAGGTTCAGTAGAATATAAGTCTTTCTGTTATGAAGTAAATTCAATGTTCATTCCAAACGTTCCTGTCATAGTAACTCATTTAGGTAAATGGGTTCGCATTAGCCCTCACAATTTGAAAGATATGCAATTCAGACTAGTTGACTTTCAGGGCGAGCCGGTAGAACTGAAGGCACCAGTGCGAATGACTGTTGAAGTTGACTTTTTAGAAAAATTAAATGCAACAGCTTACAAGAGAACTCAGAGCTAAAAATATAAAGTATGAATTTATGTATTAGGTCATGAACTTTTGTTTGCTGTTTGATGAAACAAATGAGTTAGTTATGTCAGTCAAGAGAACAGAAAAATATTGTGTTAGTGAAAACTGCACCAAGTCAATAAGATTAGGTTTGCATTATGAAGATGAGTTCGATACTGTTGAAGAAGTTTTGGATAGATATTACAAATTGCTTTAATTTACTAAAACATATTTCAAACAAAGCTTATAGTAAGTAGATAGTTTTGTATACTCGTTTGAATATTTATACTTAAACTCAACTCCTGGAGTACCTGGTGTTTCAATGATGCGGATGTTACCTATTTTCATGAATAGTGGAGTTTGACCACAGCATTCGATTTCAGGGTCGAGATAGTCAATGACACATTGTTTCCCTGTTATTCGTGATATAACATTTTCAAGGTCCTCCTTTGTTAGAATTATTTGGTTCTTGCTTATAAGATTTGTCAAAAGCTTCTTATCGTCTTTGAGTAAGATAGTTTGGTATAACTGAAGAAGGTAATGGTCTACGTTATCTGAAGGATTTGTTTGAACATTTGTGTAAGGGTTGTCGTTGGCTTCTCTTGAAAGAATTTGGTCTAATGGTGGATACTCTAACTTAACATCTGATGTAGCGTTAGCGTTTGAAGCTGAGTTTAAATTCACGGCGCCATGCTCCAAGACCGAAGGTCCCGACTTAAGTTCTGGTTCTTTTTCTTTCAAACACTCCGAACTATAGTTCTTTATGACAATATTGTTTGTCGTTCGTGAGTCAACATTTGATGTTGGTTCAATTGGAACATTAACGGCACCAGCTAAGATGGATTTGCTTCTCATTTCATATAGAATAAAAACCTTTTATATGTATGAAATGAACAATATACTCGACAAGGGTTTGAATGTAAAGCTAACGAATGAAAATATTGTTGAATTCACTGAGACAGGTGCTGTGTATAAAGATGTAGAACTACTGAACAAAAGAGCTAAGGGAAGAAGCAGGAACATGAACAAAGGGTGGAAGCCTATAAAAATTTATGTCAATGATGGCTCAGGAGTTCAAACTAAAGTATGCAGAAAGTTATAGAGTTTATGCTCTCAAAGGTGAAAAGCCTTCATTTAAGAACAGCTATTCTAACGCATATCCTCAAAAGTTAACGGATGGAGAAGTGGATGATATGAATGACAGCAAAAATATTAACAGAAATGGCGACAGAGATGCATGGAATTTGTTTACCATCAGTCAATTGAAGGTTAAACTTTAAAACAATGTTGGTCGTTCCCATGGAATATTTTTGACTTTAATGGTATTAGTCATGATATGAATCTCAAGGTATGAACGAGGAGAGATGAGAGACTTATATGCTTCCCAAATTTCTTCAAAAGGTAATGTTATACCTGACTGTTTCCAAATGAGTTCAATGTCATAGCGTGAGAAACCTTGAAAGATAACGAAGTCAGTTATGAGACGCTTTATGTTTAAAGCAAGAAAACGCCATGTTTGCATAAGTATTGCTACAGTTAAATGGTAATGTCTGACTTTAGTAATGATGTTAGCTAATGGTGAGTCAGGCTTTGACACTAAACCTTTTCCGGCGAAGTCGTCACAAACGAGCAGAGTGTTTGAAGGATACTTTTTGAAGGGGTATTTTGAAAGTTTTGACAGAATGTAGTTTGTAAGTCGTTTCATATCGTAAACTCCTGAGTATTGACGTAAGTGGTGTTTGTCAATAATTCTTTCCATCTCCTCAGAAGTCTTTTGCATTCCTGACTGTATAAATTCAACGATAGCATAATATTTCCTCTTACGTCGAATGTAACGTTGAAGAAATTCAATGAGTTCACTGTCTGGAACTTTAACGACAGAGGCTTGAACTTTTGACATAAATGTTTTCGCTGTTGAGTCCATAGAGTCTGAAGTTGCTGATATAATGATTTGGTCATAATATGAATCTTGACCTAAATTCTGTTATGATATATGACGAATGAGGTTAAATGTCTTACCTGAACCCATCTTTCCACAATAGAAATACACACCATTTGAACAGAACTCATAGTCCTTACTGAAAGGAAGAATGAGAGAAGAGTTAAGTTTGTCTGTAGTTTCATTCATGTCTTCATCTACGTCATGTATTAAATGCTTCATTTTATCTCCATTAAAAATGCAAGTCAGAAATATTCAGAACATAGCACCGAGTCTAACTGACAAGAGTATAAAGATATACTATGAACATGTTATGATGAAACCAACCAAAATTCAAGAAAGTCAGTATACTTATGAATATCCAAGACACTGGGTAGAGTATGTAGGAGGTGAGAAAGCTATTGAAATCAGACAGGTTCGAAGTATTCCAGCAGGAAGAACAATATTATTGAAGAACTTTAATGTTTTGAGGTATAATGATGAAACAAAGAAGCAAGATAGTTTCCCTGTTGCTGTGTATGTGAACTTAGATACAGGAGATGACATGAAAGTTTTTAATACAAAGCTTCAAACGGTAGTGAGAGAACAACTGACTGCGGAAGGACATCCATTACCTTCAGAAGTTACCATAGCATATAATTTTGAAACAAATGCAATAGATTTTAAAATCGTCTCTGCAAAGAAGTCAGGTTTTACATTTAATGAAGCAGATGTGTATTCGAATGAAAACTTCAAAGCTATTGCATGGTTAGATAATGACGATTGCTTTAAGAAAATATTTAAATACAGTGACTCAACGATGTCAATAGATGACCTTCGTGGAATGTTACCATCGACATTTACAGTAGAAGGTTCAGCAGGATTGCTTACAAGATTGTCAATTGGTGGTATTTGGTCTCGTGAGAACATTGTTATAAAATCCAGTATAAGTGAATTTGCTGAAGAATCTATATTATGTCTTTCAAACTATATGTATTTGCCGCCGAAGCATTATAGTATAACAAACTTTGTCAGTAAGTTTAATATAAGACTTGTTGAACCTTCTTCAATGAAAGATGTTGTGCTACCCAAAGACGGAAAGGATGGACTCATTATTGAAATGATTTTAATTGCATATTAAATGAGCTTGTTCTTGAAGGTCATTCATGATGAAATAACTGTTGTAGAAGATGTTAGCAATTGTTCGGACATTTTGAAGCGTATAGATGATATAAGATAGAAGTTAGATAGACCGCAAAGCGGTGAAGGCGAAGCCCGTGAGAATGTTTATGTTTCATTGACTTTCTCCAGTAACGAGAACTTTTATGAGATAATATTGAAGAGAGATGATTTTAATATGGTGTAAATGGTAGCTTGGGCAGCTTTAGGCGCAATGGGAACAAAAGCATTAGCATTTGGAGCAAAAGCACTTGGAGCTTATGACGCAGTAAATAAAATGAGTGGAGGAAGGGTTTCGAAGACATTAGACGCAAATAAAGGAAAGATTGGAGGCTGGGTTGCAAAGAAGTTAAGATTAAATAAAATAGGGCTCATAAATAAAGCATCCAATTTGGTTGCGACTGAGTCAGAAAATGCTTTAGGAAAGGACGATGAGTTTGCAAAACACGCAAAAGACTTTAATGACCAGATGAAAGGTGAAACAATGCATTTAAATAGATTCGATGGAACTAAAGAAAATGTTTCTTCTCCACCAGTAGTTCTTCCGTATGGTCCCTATGGAATGTATGGAAACCCTTACGAAAGACCATTTGACCCATTGACTGGTGGAAGTAACTGGTATCATTACGGACGAAGAAGAAAGACAGTTAAGCTGGAGACAGATGTGAAGAAAGCAACTAAAAAGAAACCAAGGAAGAGAGTTATAAAACAATGAATTCAACAGGGTGAAAAAACAGGTGAAAAAAGAGGTGAGATCTCACCAATTCACCTAAATTTAAATGGATGTTTTCATACGTGTGAGGGTGGTGATATCATTTATTTTTAAGTTTATTTTTTATTTTATTTTTATATAAATGACGAAAACTATTGAGATAACAAACTACAACGGTCATGAGTTCAAGAATTTGTTCTTCGTTCCTCGTGAAAATACATTCTATCAGATACGAGGGAGAAAGGGTAAAGTTAGTTTGAGCGTTTATGAAGGAATGAAGAATGGAAAGTTTATACAAGCATACGATACAAACGGTAAACGTGTTTCATTAGCTTTGTCAAAACTTACAGGTATAAACTATGACAGTGATTTTGACCTATATGAAGAAGAAAGTGAGTCAGAAGATTATGAGCTGTTATGTGAAGCACAGCAATGGGAGGAGTTGCAATACTTTTGTAAGTGAGAACATTAGTGGGAACGTTAGTGAGAACGTTTATTTTTTCATTAGTGACGTCGTTAGCGATGTCGTTAGTGAGGTGAAGTGGTTGGCGGCTTTGTAAATATTTAAGGTTAAGTTAGTGTTGTCGTTTGTGTTGTAAAATATACGTTAACAGTTTTGTAAAGTGTCAAAACCGCTAAGTGGTGTATGGAGGCGCGCAGTGCCTCAGTACACGACTTACCCATACTAACTAATATTGCTCAAAATCCCGATTGTGAGAAAGAAAAAGAAGAAATTGCAAAAGAATTTGAAAATATAGAAGATTTGACAAAAGATCAAATTTTTGACAATTTACAAAAAATAAAGCATCATCAAGTGGAAAAATTTATGATGGAATCAGGTTTATCTTCAAAAAGAGATTACAAACCAGCAGATCCACCTACCAAATATCGTGCCATATCAAAGAATTTGATATGGCACTGCGATATTCATTACCTTCACGGTAATGTTTCTTTTCCATTTTTTGCCATATTGGATGATATGACACGTAAAGTTCTCAAAACTAAATTATTGAAAAACAAGTCTTCCAACTCAACAGCGAAGGTTTTAAGAAAACTTTTAGAGGAGTTTATTCCTTACTGCATCTGGACCGATAACGGCGGTGAAAACCGCGGTGAATTCGGCCAGATTATGCAGGAAAACGTAATAGTTTGGAAGCACAACTTGCCGTATATGCCAAGACAGAACGGCAAGGTGGAGCGCCTGTGGCCAAGCTGAGAAAAGTTTTTGCCAGACGAGTTGGATGATATTCAACAAATCAAGGACTCAGTTCAGCAGTTCATTGAAAAATACAACAATACACCACATTTATCTCTCGATATTAATCCAAAAACGAATAGTAATTAGACTCCTAACGAATTATTCGAAGTTTCAAAATTTTGGTACGAGCCAGAAATGCAAAAATGGGAGTTATATATCAAAGACGAATGGGTCTTAGCAAAATTTGAATAATTACATCATTTTAAATGACCACTAAACAATTTTATTTATGATCAAATTTTATATATTTTTTGGATCAAATCCATTTTAATAGAATTTATATACTATTCATCTATTAGTAAACACTACCGTATATTATTTTTTAAGCTATCTTATTTTTTGAACTTTTATTCAAATCTTTGGTCGCAAGAAGAATTGCATGATAAATAAAAACATTTAATCAAAGTCAATTTTATTTTTCATATTCAAATGGACTGAGTGTTAACATTTAACATTTTTTGCTAATTGTCGTCAAAAATTAGGCGTAAAGCAAAAATTGATATTTCATATGGTTTTATGATAGATAAGCATTATATTCCCACTCATTATATTCGTAAATTTTGAGGTTTATCCTTCGCTTTTAAGATCATTGAATTTGATTTTTATATAAAATAGTTATATATTAGAAAATAATATGAGTTTATGTGATATTATTTTTCAGAAGATTTTGTGTTCTTCTTCAAAATTTTATTTTTTTATTAAAAAGAATCTTTACAAAATATACATTTACTTTAATTAATATTTAAAAACGTGCTCTATCAAAAGTTCCAAAAATTCAATATTTTAGCTTTTCTGAGGTGTCACTTTTGATGAATTTCTGTTTACAACAATACCCTCTAGAATCGAATATAAACATGAAATGCTTTATAATTTATTACGTATTCTTTTGACCAATCGATCTTTCAAAACTGAATTTTGACAAACAGTAAGATAATTATTTTCGAAATTCAGAATTGTTGGTATATGAAATCAAAATTTTTTACAATAAAAATCATACATTTCATAAAGATATACGGCGCAATTAAAATATATTTTTGTTCATCCTATTGGATGCATTATCTTCAAGAAATTTTCAATTTTTTACAATTCGTCCTTCAATTTGTCAAATGTCAATGTAGTGTTATTCAAACAATAGTAAGCTTTTCCATCATAAATTGATGTTTATAGTGCTATGCATTTTGTCTACATTTCGTCAATCATCTCGATATCTTTGTCTGATTGTTATAGACCGAAAATAGATTTTTTCGGTTTTCTCTTCAAATAATTGAAAGAATGATACTATTATAGGTTTATTATATTATATAGCATAGAATCATGCTATAGCCGAAAATTATAAGTTTTGAGAAGATTGAATATAACACAAATAAATTTGAATGTAAGTTAAATTGCTTGTTGTTTTTAATAGCTATTCAATGAGAAATCCAATATTGCAAAATTCAAATTGAATGATTGAAAGAACAGAAAAAGTCATTCTTTTCAATTTCGAATATGTTTCATTGTATTTATAATTATATGGCAAATAAGATATTTAAACTTGATTTCTGAAGGAAAATTCACAAAATTGAATAAATTCAAATAATTTTTATTCAAAAATAAACTAGTTATTTGAGTTTAATACTAATTATCTATTCAAACTACAAAGTTTGTAATTTAAAATATTTTGTGAGATCAGATTGAATTAATTCAAGGTTCTTTTCAATTAATATTAATGACCATATTACGCATTTCGAACATTCTAAACCAAATATATAAAAATGGGAGACGAATGTTAAATTTGCTAGACATGGGGGAATTGTCTGCAAAGTTTTAGCTCTTATCTCTAACAAAAAATTAATTTTTAAAAAAAATGACCGAATACGTTTCACAGCGAGAAAAAAAATAAAAGGCAAGATAGAATTTTCTAGACATAAGAAGTTGTTTACCGAGTTTTAGCTCTTATCTCTAACAAAAAATTAATTTTTAAAAAAAAGACCGAATACGTTTCACAGCGAGAAAAAAATAAAAGGCAAGATAGAATTTTCTAGACATAAAGAAGTTGTTTACCGAGTTTTAGCTCTTATCTCTAACAAAAAATTAATTTTTAAAAAAAAGACCGAATACGTTTCACAGCGAGAAAAAAATAAAAGGCAAGATAGAATTTTCTAGACATAAAGAAGTTGTTTACCGAGTTTTAGCTCTTATCTCTAACAAAAAATTAATTTTTAAAAAAATGACCGAATACGTTTCACAGCGAGAAAAAAATAAAAGGCAAGATAGAATTTTCTAGACATAAAGAAGTTGTCTACCAAGTGTCAGCTGTTACTTCTTCTCAATACTGATATAAAATAAAAATCTTTATTATTTATTTAACCTTTATTGTTTCATTAAACTTCATTTATTTTATATTATAGTTTTATTCTTTTAGCTACTTGTAAAATAATCTAATTTTATATCATCATTTTACCGGATTATTCTTCAGTACATCGATTGTGTATCTAAAATAATATCATTATCCTTATTCTGTTTTTTCCAAAATTCTTTTAAATATCTTTTTTGGTTAGATTACTTTATACTTTTTACTTTTATTTTATAATTTCAAAAAAATTTTGGTGATTGTTCTATTCTGTTACAATGTGCATTATCATATTCTAATGAATTATTAAAAAAAAAAAAAAAAAAAAAAAGGTAGTGGGGCTTCCAGGCACTTCGTGCCCTCTAGCCCTGAAGATGTTTTTTTTTTTTCTTGGGATGGCCTTCCAGGCACTTCGTGCCCTCTAGCCCATATAAAGTTTTGTCCAAGACCCAAGAGGAGGACCGAACCCCAGCCGGTGATACTTTTTGTTTCACTTTTCACAAATTATATATGTTTTCATGTTTTGTCACTTTTCTGTCACTTTTCGGGTAAAAACCTTTTTATTATTATATATAAATGAATTTTACAAAACCACCGTTACCGTTCTTTGGAAATAAGAGTAGATGTAAAGATATTATATTGAGAGAACTTAAGAAACTACCGAATGGTCTAACATTTGTAGATTTGTTCGGTGGAAGTTTCTATATATCCCATTTGTGCCATATAATATTCCCAGACTCAAAGATTATATGCAATGACTTCGACAACTATATGGACCGTCTCAAACATATTCCAGACACAAACAATATATTGAAAGAGTTAAAAGAAAAGATACCTATAGGTAAGATGGAACGTATACCATTAGATAACAAAAATATTGTGAGAGAGGTTTTGAAAAAAGCAGAATATATAGACTGGAATAGTATATCTGCTAGACTATTATATAGTGGTGCTATAAGAGTTCATGACATTGAAACACTTATGTCAAAAGTTTTATATCTTAACTATACAAATGTTTTCAAAGAGGACATAGAAAAATATATTGAGGGTATAGAGTTTGTGAGATGTCATTGGACAGAGTTGTATGAAAAATATAAAGACAAGGAAAATGTTTTCTTTATAGTGGACCCGCCGTTCTATAACACATGGGATTTTCAATACCAAGTAGACTGGACTTTGAGAGACTCTTTAGAAACTTTAGACGTTATACATAACCATCCATGCTTTTACTTTACATCCGATAAAAGTGGTTTGGAAACTGTTATGAGATGGTTAGAGGACATACATGACTATGAGTTTATATATGACAAGATAGAATATGAGAGAGGTCCTATAAACTGGAGAAAGTGTCACAATAAAGAAATTTTATTAGTAAGTAAATGTGGTTTGAAATAGGACTACTTGTTTTAGGTTTTTTCCATTGTGTCATTTATTTATTTGACGTGGCAGAAAAGTACAGAGAATATGAAGATGAACCAATGCCTGCAAATGTTCAGTATATGTACTCGTAAGAGATATTTTTATCTAATATTAAATGGACGCACAGAACTTAGCGAATGCACAGCAACCTGGACAACCAAACCCAGAGAATATTCCAAATGAAGTTAGAATACAAACTGCAATGGCAAACTATGGTCAAGTGCCAACAGATGTACAAATGCAAACTGCCATGTCAAATGACGCTGCGTTAGGTTTGCCACCATGGTATGCAAATATGAGATGGAAAGAGTTTTATACAAACCCTGAAGTGGGATATAAACAACTTTATGCAGATGACGCGAACACAGGAGTTGACCCAGAATATGTTTTCTACCAGAGGAGAAACAGAATGTATGAGCTCCAGTTAAAGAATGCTATGGAACTCAACAGGAAACGTAAGAGACTAGGCGGACATTAGATTTTTACATATAGTAAAATGGGTTTCTTCAGTAGTATTGGAAACTTCTTTCGAAATGTTGGAAGAGGTATATGGAATGGAATAAAATCTGTCGGAAGAGGAGTATGGAACGGTGTCAAAAATATTGGTAAAAGAGTAGGTCAGTTCGTTGGTATATTACCTAAAGACCCTGAACCAGAAGAACAAGCTCCTGTTATACAACAGCCTGAACCTGCACCACAGTCTAGTTGGCAACCAAATCCAACACCTCAACCGTATTAAAAAATTATATTTTTTACCGTTCGATAGTAGTTGTATATGAAACTAAGTTCTAAGTAAAACGCATGGTATAATGGAATTATTCTTTTTCTTCCATCTGTAGTAAACCATACTTGAAAGTCTGAAATACTTCCACTCGGCGGCTCATATAACTTTGTAGGTTTTTCGTAAAAGTCATTTGCCAAGCATAAGAAAGAGTTTTGGGCGCCAGAAAATGAAGCATGAACAATAATAGCAGCTGGGTCGAAAACATCTTTAAATAAATATGGTTCATCTCTTGCATATCGACTGTAAATATTTGCTAAAGGAAGTTCGACTTTCTGATTTAACATTCTTTGCAAATAATACCATGACATTGCAGTGAATTCTGTATATATTTGTTCGTCTTTATTTGGATTGTTTTCGTAGATTTGAAATGACACTTGTGAATTTTGTTTGTCATATACAATTCTCACATAAAGTGTGCTCTCGGTATTTGCATATTCATCAGCATATTTTGCATAACATGAATTTATTTTATCTTCTATATTTTTTAACGCAGTCTGTAGAGAAGATGAAAGGTCAACTTGTATTAGCTCAATTTCTTCCCACATTTTTCGTTTCCCTTCAGATATATAATCTATATGAAACCTTACAATAAATGGAAAACTTTTATCTTCTACAGACACAAACTTCATTCTACGAAAGCCAATAGCTTTTGTGACAGATGGGTCTCTTAGCCATCTTAATGGGTAGTCAAAACGATAGCCTTCATGCTTTACGGTCTCTGTCTCAAACTTTTGACCGACATTAGTAAAAAGTTCATCTAATGGTTTAGTTGTAGCAACTCTTGAATTTTCTTTTTCTATTGGAAGCATATTTTATCTATAATAAAAATGTCGAAAGATATTGCTTCCATGAGAGAAATACAACACAACCGACAACTCATTATGCAAGCTCTAAATAAGAACACAACAAACTTTTCAAACTATTCTAAGATATCTGAGTCATTGAAAGAAGGAAACTTAAAACTGACATTAAACCCAATGACAGATGAGTTTCTGTTTCAAGACAAGAAGAACAATACTGTCTGTATAAATCCAACAAAAGGAACTTTAAACGAGAAACCTATAAATGAACTTCTTTTGAAAGCAGATGTTGACAACAAAGCTGACAAAGAATATGTAGACGATGCAATAGCAAAAGAAGAAGAAAGAGCTAACAATGCTTATGCAACAAAAGAACATACTCATCCTGAACTAGCAGACAAAACATATGTTGACAATAAAATGTCAAGTGAAGTGACAAGAGCTGAAAACGAATATTCTAAAAAGACTCATATACATTATATTAACCAAATACCAAGTCTTAAGGAAACATTAGAGACAAAAGCAGATAAGACTCATACACATTCTATATCTGAAATAACAGACTTAAACGTTAGCCTTGAAAATAAAGCAGATAAAACATATGTCAATGAAATATACCAAAGTTTGACAGGAACAAAAAATATTGAAACTATTGTTGGTGACTTTTCTGTCAATGAAGAAAACAAATATTTTAGATGGGAGTTTGTACACTCCTTAAAAAATGGTATACGGTATAAACTCATTCCGAAAAATAACAATGAAATGTATGTAAGCTATATAAAGAATGATGGTACACAAGTTAAAGTTCCATTAGACAACAACTGCTACTTAAACTTATATGGAGACGAACAAACGAAATATTTAAGAGTTTATGAAATGGCAGATATGACATTGCCTGACCCAGCTCCAATACCATATTATTATGACTATGGATATGACGGCGGAGCACTACATGCAAATGAACAAAAGTTAACATTATATTTAGATTATTGTAGATATAAAAGATATAATGCAATAGAAAAAACGAGAATAGTATATTATTATATAGATGACAAAAATAAATATTATAGTCAAGACTTTACCTACCCTGAAAACATGAGATTATATTATAAAAAATATTCTGACACAAACCAGAAGAAACCTGAAATAGTTGCACTATATTTTAAGTTCAAAAGAGACAATCCTATATTATCTCATATGTTTGATTTAATGAACCCAGTAGGTTCTATTTATACATCTATGGATGCAAGAGGTCCTCAAGTAATGTTTGGTGTTGGTGCATGGGAACAAATAGTCGACAGGTTTTTGTATTGTGCAAACTCTTCAAAGGAAACAGGTGGAAGTAAAACGATTTCAGGTGAAAATTTACCTGCACATAGTCACTACATAAATTTAAGTACATCTCAAGAAGGTTGGCATAAGCATAGATATTGGGGTTGGACAGGAATGACAAAAGGTAAAGGATATGATGTTAAAGACGACGTTAAGTTTGCTATAAATTGTTACTGGGATGACACTTGGGGAGAAGGAGACCATACACATCGCGTTACAGGATATACGCAAACAACGGGACAAAGTAAAGAATACATGCCACCTTACATGACAGTTTACGCATGGTATAGAATTGCTTAGTCGTCATTTTCAACTTCTTTAGCATATTCGTCAGGAGTTGTCTTATATTTGTTAGGAACTGTCTTTGAAAGTATACACCTTGAACTTTGACAAGTTTGAAACGAGGTCTGACAATAGTAGTTTTATCTTCTGCTTGCAGTGTGTACATTTTGCCATGTTTGCCTAAAACTTCATAATATTCTCTTGTATACTTTCTTCTATTTTTACGAACACGAATGTGAGTACCTGTCGAGTTCCCATTGTTGTCATAGTCAATAGTATTTTCATATGGGTCGCGTTTAGGTATTTCTATTTTTACTTTGTCACCTTTCTGAAGTTTGAAGCCCGCATTCTTTCTTGTTTGTCTCTTTTGACTAAATTATTAAATATATAGTCTTTCTCTAAGTCGGGGTTGTTTTTCATTTCTTCGGGGGAGTGGTTTCCCAAACCTTTTTTGTTTACGGTTATTGTAAATATTTAAAACTTGTCTCATCTTTGCCATGGAGAAGTGTCTATACTTGTCGTCATATGACACTTCATTTGCTTCACCACCTTGTGGTTGGTTTAAGTCTCTTAACATTTTTATACAACCGTCAATGACACCAAGAGCAGAATGGTTTTGGTCGACAATGAAATATTGGTTTACATTTTTTGAACGCAGATAGTTTTTAATATCATCTGATTTGAAAGAACTTTCACAGTCAGATGTCAGTTTTGTTGGATGGTATTTGTCAACGAATATTGTCAAAGCAGTTTTCACATCTAAAATATTTTTGGACCATAATGGTATGGCTTCACAGTATCTTGTGTTTTGACCGATAAATATTAACCAGTATGGAGGTCCATCTTCTCTATACCTCGGAATGTTTTCCAAGATATCCATAAACCAAGCATTTGGTGTTGAACTAAAGATTTTTATCATGAGTGCTTTCTTTGTCGCTTTAGAAACATAGGGGTCCTTGTTTGGATTCGTCATTTTTTAACCCATAAGAAATGGGTTTATTTGGCGCATTAGCAGGAGTTGCATCCAGATTTTTGCCCGCAGTGGGAACAATAGCCAGAGGTGCATTTGGAATTGGAAGGAAGATTTTGAGTACATTAGGTATACTTAAAGAGAAAGCACAACCTATTATACAAACTGTACAGAAAGGTTGGGATGTAGCACGAGATGCAGCAAATCTTATTCCAAATCCTGAAACAAGAGGAAAAGTTCAAGGATGGATGGACAATGTAGGAAGACAAGCAGGAAACTATTATAACAAAGCAAATGACTACTATAACCAAGCAGGACACTATATGGACCAAGGTGAAAGATTCTTTAACAGAGGATATAACCATGCACAACAATGGGTAAACAATAACCAACCGCAACCGCCTCAAACGTGGGGAATGTAAAGTTTTTTACTGAGATGAAATGAACAATACAGCATTGAGACAAATGGGTTCAAGATGGATTTGTCGGCTTCCAGCAGTTACACCACGTGTTTGTCAAGTTCTTCCTATACCTCAGGAAGTTTTAGACCGACTTAAAAAACAACAACAACCAGTTGAAAACAAACCAAACTAAAATTTTTTACTGAGATGAAATGACCGAAGAAGTTGAAACGGTAGATTTGACACCACAAACAAAAAGTTCAGAACCATTGTCAAAACCTGTCAAAGAACTTACAGATGAAGAGAAAAATTCAATAATAGAAAGTGCCAGGTCTGGAAATACAAACCCTAACTATAAAGTCACTTTTCATAGAAATGGAACGGCTAGTATCTCAAAAAAGAAACAGACTCTCACAAATAAAATATTGAAGTCTGAAGGAGCTTTCGAGACAACAGATGGAAAAGTTTACTTCACTGACCAACAGTTCATTATAGAACATCTCATTGACTTAGAGTCGAAATATTCTAAACTTTACAACAAACACAAAAAGTTGAAAGGAAAACAAAAACAAATGGCATATGATATTTATGAAGATGTTGACGACACAACTGTTCCTGCAGGTGGGGTAAAACCCGAGGAACCGAAAAGTGACGAAAAACCGATAGAAGAAGAAAAACCAAAAACTGAAGATAAACCAAAACCAAAGTTTAGTTTCCAAACTAAACCAAGTCAACCTTCATTAGCTGGTATGGGTTGGCGTCAAAGACTTATGGCAGCAGGCGGTTATGTAAAGTAAAGAAAAAAACATTTTTTTATTTTTATAAAAATGCCCCCATATAGAATGGATAGAAGGTCTGCTAGAATAAAAGCAGAGTTACAAAGATATGGTTGGAGAGTTTCGAAGAATTTTAAATATAGGAAGGGAAGACCCATAAAAGTCTATGACAAATTGTCTGGTCTTCGCTACGAAATGGATTTGGAAACAGCACGTGCCAATTATCCAAACAGACTAGAGAGGTTAGAAGAAGAACGTCTTATGGACATGCCTTTCGATGTTAGTGAACCTCAAGTTGAAGGACACGACGGCTTTGCCAGATTCTACTGGAAACATGACGAACAATTGCATCCTTTGAGAAGGAAAAAAGGAAAAGGTGAAGAAGCACATGCTCCCATGGAAAGAACAAGATATGCATATGAAAAGTATCGTGAAGTTAGAAGTCAAATTACATCTGGTCGAACCTTTACAGTAAACTTTGACGAAGGAAAGAACAAAGAAGGCTTCATGGGAGTACTTGCTGCCATACAAGACGGAAATAAGAAAGGACACAATCTCAGATTGACCATAACAGATTTGGATGGTCACATTTACTATGCACATGGCAATGAACAAACAGCCGCAAAACTTCTTGACGCTTTCAAGACTACAAAGAGAGAACAAATGGTTGACTCAGACTCAGACATTTTGAATGCAATTGAAGGAATTGCAAGTGTCAAGTTCGAATGGTATGAACCCAACCATCAAGCAGTCAGACAACATGCTGGATACTTCCCGTTCATAAATAAGTCTGACATTGACTTGACAAGGTATGGAATTTACAATTCAATTGAAACAATTGTCAATGAACCTTGTATTCTTACATGTCTCAGGAACTCTGGTCTTGTTACAGATGAGAAGATGAAGTATCTTGAGTCATGTGTGAAGACAAGGTACATGCTCAGAGGTCAATTGGCAAAAATTGCACCGTTGGCAAATGTCAATATCCGAGTCAACATACCTACAGCTAAAGGTTCTTCACATGACGACTATGTTGTTGAGTTCAATTTACCATGGTTGAAGATTGTAATTGTCCACAACCACTTCATGTTGAACGAAAGTCTTACAAACCCATTGTTCGGAAAAGGCAAGTGCAACATTGTCAGAGCTGTAAACATTCTTTTCGAGAAAGGTTTGTTGGAACCAATTCCAGATGACAAGCTGACAGAAACTTTTGTACCAAAAGACGAAACAAACTTTTCACTGTTAGCAAGACCAAAAGTTGTTCCAGACAAAGTTCTAGTACAAAAGAAGTACACAATTCCACAAGGAGTTGGATTGTTCGGATACCAACCTGAACCAGAAGAACTTCCAATGAGGTTGCAAGAACTTCAAGATGCTATAAACAAACTTCCATTGAGACATCCAATTGACGTCAAATTGTATTGGAGAGCATCTGAGTTAGGTCAGAAGGTTTTATATGAAACAGGTTGCTTCGACGATGTTTATGAGATAACAGGAGAAGTTTCTCAGAAGATAAGAGACTCACTTGAATTTCCACAAACTGGACCAATTGGTTGCGACAAGTTCGACTCAGATGAAAAGATATACTATGTCGACCTTAACGCTGCATACATGAGGTTTGTCCAATATATTCCGACTGGAATTCCAAACGAAGATGGTGAGTTCCCGGGAAGGAACTATACAGTTGGAAAAGTCATACAACAACTGTATGATATTAGGAAAGCTTCAAACCCCAAACTTGCAATGACACTCAAATTGCTTATGAATTCGACATGGGGATATTCCATTAAAAAACCTCAAGAGATGAAGAGTAAACATTATGAGAAGGTCGACAACTTTGTTGAAAGGTTTTCTCCTTTTGTTTTGAAGTACGAATTCACTCAAGGTCAAAGTGGCTTAGTAACCACATTAAAACCTATTGTCGAACATTGGTCTTACCCTCAGTTCGCAAAGGCAGTCCTTGACAACTACAACAAATTCTTCTCTGAGGTCAAATCCAAAGTGAAGGTTTACTATGAGAACATTGACGCACTCATGACGAACGAAGAAGGATACAACAAACTCATTGAAATGGGAATGGTCGGTGAAAAGATGGGCTGTTTTAAGCTAGATAAGGTATTTTCCGAAGTTCATGTCCTCTCCAAGCGTAAGTACTGGGGCATACTTGAAGATGGCACAGAAATAAAACATTGCATGAAATAAAAAAGTGACATTTGTTAAATTTTATTTGAACTGTACGCTGAGTTTGTTGGAGAAGACCGTTGGGAAACTTGTTTGTTATATGAGAAATATGAAATGGCATACCATTTTAAAACAATATATTTTTACATATATTAAATGCTTCAGGTTGAAAAACAAAGAACAAAAGTAGCAGATACAAAACCGTTAGACTATATCTTTACAAATGCTGGTAGGAATCTTTCAGATGAAGAAATTTCATCCCGAGCATACAGGTTTGACTATCCAATTCGTTGGCTTCAAAGTCCTTCAGATGCAAAGGCAATAGGATTTAGAAGAGTTTTGTTTTCAAATAGAACTAACGCATTTCTGTTCGCAGTATATTTTCATGGGCAGTATAAAGGTCCTGATGGTCTAATAGACAAATTTGACGAAATGAGAATCTTTACAGTTCGTTCAGACGAAAGTCTTGGGAAAACTCTAAATGACTTTCAAACTCAAATGAACAAATATTATTGGGAATTTCAAGAAAAATACGACTCTTTACTAAATGGAACATACTATCTGAAACTAGAATATGACAAGATGAACTCCACCGTTTCATTTCAAAGGATTGAAATTAACCCTCCAAGAGATACAGAGTTTTTATTTTGGGAAGTAGACAAACGTTCTTGGGCACAATTTCTTCGGTTACTAAACCAGAACGAACCATTACCACCAGATGGTCCATTTAAATTTATACTTCCACCAGCAGATTTGATGGTTTATAGAAACGTGTTTGACCCTCAAAATGTTATGTGTCATGCAAGTTTCAGTTCAAGCAACAATAGTTTTCTATGTATTGGTAAGGACTTTTATGACTTTGCTTCTAAATTCTACGAACCACCTAGTAACAGTTTCTCTGACTTTCAAGTTTGGTTCACAACAAATGGTGTGCAACATATTATTCCATTGTACTATGACTTTTATCTCGAATTGTCTTTCATATATAACTACGGAAAAGTGCTGAAAAAGTATTGAAAAATAATGTTTAGGGTAGAATGGTAGATCTACCCTCTTTTCTACCCTCTTTTCTAACATCGTAGAAAACTCATGAAAACAATTTATTTTTGACACTTTCACAAAAAACATAAAAAAGTGAGTTAAAATGAGATGTTTACTGAACTGGCTGAATGTCGCCTTCTGAGGTTATGTAGAATGGTTGACCTGAGAAGTGAAGGAGCGACTGAATTGCCAATTTCATATGGGGTAGGGGGTTCTCCTTGTTTGGTATTTTTATCCAAGGACGTTTGTTTAGGAACTTAACAAGAGCTTCTCTTTTGGCGTCCTTTATGTCGTCGAAAGGAGTGTTTTCTGGTATTTGAATTGGAATTCCAGTCGAAGTCTCGAGATTCAAGGCAGCCCTTCCAGAAATAGTGGTGAACTTGACCTTGGGCTTCATTACCCTGCGCAAGTAGTCTTTTACGCGGTCGTTAATTTCAATTAGGTAAATTGCCTCGTCAAATCCTTCTGGTATTCCGAGTCCTTCCATCCGACAGGAAAATATTTTCCGGACAACTGGAAAAAATTTTCCGGACAAAGGGAAAAATTTTTCCCGACGACAGGAAGAACTCTTCCAGTTGTCCGTCCGTAAACCATTCAAATTTTCGAAAATTGAGAACTTTTTGGTCGAACTTCAGAAAATGTTCTTCCATCCGACAGGAAAAAAATTTCCGGACAAAGGGAAAAAAATTTCCGGACAAAGGGAAAAAAATTTCCTTCCGACAGGAAAAGTTCTTCCTTCCGACAGGACACAAACGAATGTCCGACGTCCCACCAACCGAGTCCAATCTCAATCCAGAAGAACCGAAAGCACCAGCCCCTGCACCTCAGTTCCAGCAATTCCAATCTCAATACAAATCGAAGAGAGACCAAGACTTCGAAGAAGGTCTGAACCGCTTACGCAAAGAGTATGCCACAGCTCCAATTGAGAGAAAGTTGTTGCTAAATTCAGTAAAAATAATGTTTAGGGTAGAATGTTAGATCTAACCTCTTTTCTAACCTCATGAATTTGTCATGACTTCTTCGTAAATGTTTTGTCGAAACTTCTTCGTAATGAGCGTAAATGACCCAAAAATAATGTTTAGGGTAGAATGTTAGATCTAACCTGTTTTCTAACCTGTTTTCTAACCTCTTGAATTTGTCATGAATTTCCTTAAGATAGAAAAAATAAAGTTAGTTTTATACAAAATTCATGCAGGAAATTCTTGAGTTTTGGTTGAAAGAATACGGTGGAGCCAAAAGTGGCTCGACCTCAAAACAAGCATTTTATGAGCTTACAAAGGGTGTTATGAATGAATTCAGCAACATACATCCTGACCTCGTTCATTTTGTTGCTAAATTCAGTAAAAATAATGTTTATGTTAGAATGTTAGATCTAACACCTTTTCTAACACGTTTTCTAACCTCTTGAATTTTCATGAAATTTACACCCAAAAATAATGTTTATGTTAGAATGTTAGATCTAACATGTTTTCTAACACGTTTTCTAACATGGTCTAAAACTCTTGAATTTTCATGAATTTCATCGTAAATGTTTTGTCGAAACTTCATCGTAAATGTTTTGTCAAACATGAACGTAAATGTTTTGTCGAAACTTCATCGTAATGAGCGTAAATGACCCAAAAATAATGTTTATGTTAGAATGTTAGATCTAACATGTTTTCTAACACGTTTTCTAACATGGTCTAAAACTCTTGAATTTTCATGAATTTCATCGTAAATGTTTTGTCGAAACTTCATCGTAAATGTTTTGTCAAACATGAACGTAAATGTTTTGTCGAAACTTCATCGTAATGAGTGTAAATGACCCAAAAATATAATTTATGTTAGAATGTTAGATCTAACATGTTTTCTAACACGTTTTCTAACATGGTCTAAAACTCTTGAATTTTCATGAATTTCATCGTAAATGTTTTGTCGAAACTTCATCGTAAATGTTTTGTCAAACATGAACGTAAATGTTTTGTCGAAACTTCATCGTAATGAGTGTAAATGACCCAAAAATATAATTTATGTTAGAATGTTAGATCTAACATGTTTTCTAACACGTTTTCTAACATGGTCTAAAACTCTTGAATTTTCCCGAAATAAAAAATAAAGTTAGTTTTATTTTATTTATTTTTTTTATTTTGTATAAAAGAACAGAAATGTCAACAATCGGCACAACAGCAATTCAAACAACTACAGCACCAAACTCGTTAGTTATGAATCCAACATCTATGTTAGTAGAGATGAAAAGCTTCATTCCTTCTTCATATACTTTCGAAACAAAAATCCAGAAGATAAAGCAGGAATTGTTAACAAGTAATTTAGACTGTACCGCACAGAATGAAACAAATGAACAGTATCTTTATAACATGCAGGACATTATTGACCATTTACCTAAACTACCTGAAATTCAGCAACAAAAACTAACTATTCCTGAATTCGACGAAATTGAAGTCAAAGCAACTGACTCGGTAGAAATAAAGAAGTTCATACGAAAGGTAAATTATGAATTCCTTGGTTTTCATTGCAACCATAAGGTTATGGACAAAGATTGCGATATGGTATATAAGAATGTTTCTGACCTTTACAAATCTGAAGAATTTAAGACCTACGACAACTTTGTTTCATTAGTTGCAAAATGTGTTTGGGAAATAAGAGATAAAGATAGTAGGGGTAAGGTATGGAACGAACAAATAAGACCAGCAGCTTTTGAGATGAAGAAAACCATTGACGCCTTAGTTGTTTTAGCAGGTAAGGTTTCAGAATATAACGCAAAAATGAATCCGCAATGTTCTAAATGTAAAGCAGCAATGAGGAAATATAACTACTCCGTCAAAGAGATAGAACGTATGCGAAACGACTATGCAGACTTAAAGAAAGAAGCAGAAAAGCCAGCAGAAGATAAAATGGATATGTTAGAATTTCTGAACAAAAACTATCCAACAGCAGAAGATTTCCTTCTATCTGACGTCAAGAAGAAGTATAAAGAAACTTTCGGCATTGTTAAAACATTCGATGTACTAAAAGAAGAAATAGAAGCTACGAAACTGTTTAAAGTCATGAACCATCGCAACATATACCATGTAAAACGCTTGTAAATAGTTATGTTAGAAAACATGTTAGAAAACATGTTAGATCTAACATTCTAACATAAACATTATTTTTGCTGAATTCAGCAACAAAATTCTGAGTAAAATAATTTTTAGGGCATGTGTCAAACCGTTGAGTTTTCACAAAATTTTAAAAATAACGTTTACCATGTGAAACGCTTATAAAATAACTGAGGTTAGAAAACATGTTAGAAAACATGTTAGATCTAACATTCTAACATAAACATTATTTTTGGGTCCTTTACACTCATTACGAAGAAGTCTTGACAAAACATGTACGATGAAATCATGAAAATTCATGAGGTTAGAAAAGAGGTTAGAAAAGAGGTTAGATCTAACATTCTACCCTAAACATTATTTTTTGGTCATTTACGCTCATTACGAAGAAGTCTTGACAAAACATTTACGAAGAAATCATGAAAATTCATGAGGTTAGAAAAGAGGTTAGAAAACAGGTTAGATCTAACATTCTACCCTAAACATTATTTTTTGGTCATTTACGCTCATTACGAAGAAGTCTTGACAAAACATTTACGAAGAAGTCTTGACAAAACATTTACGAAGAAGTTTTGACAAAACATTTACGAAGAAATCATGAAAATTCAAGAGGTTAGAAAACGTGTTAGAAAACATGTTAGATCTAACATTCTAACATAAACTTTATTTTTGCTGAATTCAGCAACAAAATTCTGAGTAAAATAATTTTTAGGGCATATGCTTGCTTCCCTCGGAAAAACCGAGAGAAGAGATTCAGCAACAAAAATCATGAATTTCCTTAAGATAGAAAAAATAAAGTTAGTTTTTTATAAAATATTTTTTTTATTTTGTATGTAAGAACAGAAAATGACAAACAATGAGTTTGAAACAGTTAGAAAGATAGACAATGACACCAAAGTGGTTAGAATAGGTGATTTAAACGTAAGATACTCAAAGAAATACAACAAATATTCTTTGTCAGACATTATATCTCCATCTGGAAAGAAACCAAGCGACTGGGTTAGAAATGCTTCAACTCAGAAAATTTTGACAAGAAATCCTAAGCTCATGATATCGGTAAGATTCTATGGAACTACAGCATATCTCATCGACAAAAGTCTTATACCAATAGTTTTGTTATGGTTAGACCCAGTTGTTGGATATAACTTCATAACTTATGGTTCATTCGATACGGAACGTTGCAGTGAAGGCTTACTTTACATCGTTCAGAAACCGAAGGACTTCAATACAAAGAGATATAAGATAGGAAGAACATATAATATAACTAAAAGATATGACAGTACAGTCAATAGAGTCAGGGTTGTGTTTGTTAATGATATGAGAGCTGCAGAAACAGAACTACTTGAAAAGTTTGAGAAAATGTATGGTGCTCCCACGAAAGGTAAGGAAACGTTTAAAGTAGATGAGATAGATAAAGCTATAAAATTATTTGACGAAGTTGCTGAAAAATACATGTAAAGTGTTTATTTTTGGTCTTTTGTGAAAGTCAGAAAATAACGCTAATTTTTTTCTAACAAATTTTTTTATTTTGTATGTAAAGACAGATATGTCAACAACAGAGAACACAACAACAGTTATAGTCCATGAAGCTATAAATGAAGAATATGAGTGGGTTCAGTTTAACAAACAACTCCGTCTCATTCGTTCGGTCAAAGACGATGTACCAAATGCAAAGTATTTTGACAGCATGTTTTGCTCCAGATACCAAACATACAGACGAATTGGTTCAAAACCAAAGCACACAAGAACTTTTGAGCGAAGCACAGCGAGACATACTTTTTTCTGAAAACAGTGAAGAACAGCGAGCCCGACTTCCTTCGGGGTCGCCTAAAACTCATGAAAACAGTGAAGAACAGCGAGCCCGACTTCCTTCGGGGTCGCCAAAACTCTATGAAAATCGTAAAAATTTGCCAAATGGTTTGAGAGGTTGGTATGTACATAGACTTCTTGTAAATGCTGTTGCAATGTGGGCTTCGCCTCGTTATGCTTGGAATGTTTACAAACTTCTTGACGAAATTCATAGACAAGAACGTGAAGAGCTAGAGAACAAGCTTGAAGCAAAGACAAAGCATTCAGAAAAGAATACCACGTTCGGTACCAAAAGGAAAGGAAAGAACTATAAGTATATGATTTATACTGAAGAGATGGAAATGAGAAGATAAGATATGGTTATGTTGCATTTAGTCAGAAGAAACAACAAAAGCTTTTACGACCTTGCTAAGATTTACAAATCTGACAGAAATTGGTTCTATCGCGAAAACTTACCGATTTCAATGACACCGAATGAAGATGTGAAACAAATAGTTCAGATACGTTACCTCAAACACACTATGATATTAAAGGTTGTACAATACTTTACATTCAAAGAAGATTTGCCTTGTTAAAGAAAAAAATAACAGAGTATTTTGACAACTTCAAACAAGCAGAGTAAATGTCTTTATTTTTACGCTTGACTTTTTACAATTGAACTTTGTTTGCGTAGATATGAATTCTGAAAGAAGTATGAGGGTCTTGTATGACTTTGTACTTCTCCCATAGTTCATGTCTGTCAAACTTACCTGCCATGGACTCTTTCATAGTTCCATGAAATCGTCTTCGGACAATCCGGGGAAAAGTATTATGTCAGTAAGTATTCTTTAACATCCTTACTTAAACTCTTGCTGTCTGTACACATATTACGACTGAGATGTTAAGTGTCTGAGCTTTTTAAGAATTCGACACATATCTTGTTCTCTGTTCTTTAACAAAGGATGAGAGGCAAATCATCTAAGATAAGAAGACATCTATGAGGGTAAGTCTTCCAATCGTAAGATTGCAATTTCTTCGAAATGTATTCTATCTCTTTCTGTTTGTTTCTGAAGTGTTTCTTCTCTAATATTCTCTGCA